GTGACAAATTTTCGAATAGTCGAGCGTTACTGTCCTCCGACAGTTCTTGTTTGTGGTACAATTGTTTCTTTGTTATATATATATGGATTGTCTTCATATATGGGCACAGCAATGATTAGAACAAGAACGTCAAGAAAATCAAACTGGCCTTGACCCTGTTGCAGGTGTAAATAACCTTGTCCGTCACTGTCAAAATATTACGTTTTCTAAAATTGATATAATTTATATATTTGTTTATTTTTGTTACCGGATTTGGTTCATACTTAGACAAACAACACAGTGGCCAAACCAACCTGTAAAAATAATTCAAATATGACATCGACTTTCAATGATCTGGTTTAGTTAATAAAAGTTGATAGAGAACATTGGTACGTTAAAAAGACGACCTTAATTGTTATAGTCAAATATGAAAATTTCTGTTCACAAAAATATGTTTTTGAAAGCCCTTTACTACAGTGTTGAATTCTCCCTCTGATGTGTTAAGAATAAATCGAGCGTGACCCCGCTCAGCGGTTTCTCTTGTTTTATCCTTTTTATGGTATTCATTGTAAAAAATAAATGAATTGTTTATTATGTTATGTAAACGTCAAGATGAATGGAGACCCCAAAAGTGAGAGTTCACAATGAATGGCTTCATTAATGGTTGCTTGATAGACAAGTAATTTCTTTGTTTGTCATTACAACTAAATTCATCAAGTTTGTAGATGTGTCCAACCTGTCGGGCAATTAGGAAAATACTGACGTTGTAATTGTTGTTTAAGGATAAAATTTGACGGAAATGCCCGATGTTTTCTCGATTAAATTGTGCTTACATTTATATGGCTATGCTTCCTTTTTTAAGGTTTTTCTTTTAATCGTAATTTACTGTATACATTTGTGTGTGTGTTCATGCGTGCGTGCGTGTGTGCGTGCGTGTGTTATGTTCTGTTTAATAAAGTTATTAATGAGGCCAAGCACAACTAAATATTTTGAAAACCACCTTCATGAATAACTTAATTTTCCGATGTCTGATAGATGGAAACTTTGTGTATATGTATTAAAGTCTTCTTGAAGACATCATTAAAATGTCTGGAGAATGGTTTATGATTTTGTTTTTGTTGAATTAAATAGTTTATCCATGAAGTAATGTGCTATAAATGTCCATTTATTATGGCAATTGAAAACTCAAAAGTCGGTACACTTATTACATAATACATGTATATTGTTTTGAAATTAAAGTTAATTCAGTAACTTAACTAATACTTTTAATTGTAGTAATAAATGGACAACCTCTTCTATCAGTATAGAAGACTGGTCCGTCTTTAACTTCCTTAAACATGTAATGATAATATATATTAGTTACATACAGGGAAACTTCAACATTTTAGAAATTCCAAGAATGAAAATTAAAATTGTATGGATTTGAATTGCTACAAGGTTTCACTTTAAAATGATATTCTTTCGGTATACATGTATATGATCAGGGCCAAAACACCATTTTTAGGGAAGGGGCCTCAGCCTTTTGGGGGGGGATATGCATGATTTTGGCATACTTTGGGGAAAGGTGTCTCAAATTTATCACAAACTTTTAACAAGTTCTTCAAAATAGAAAAGCAAAAATCACTGGGAAATACTAATAAGGCAGTAAAAGACCTTAATTCAACACCATCATTTAATTTTGTTATAAATTCTATTGGAAATTTCAAAAGACTGGGGATTTTTGAGGACCAAACTGGGGAAAAAAAGAGACTAGTTTGGTTGGGGAAGCAGCCTATATTCGGCCTCTACAAAGCAGGGTTCTTTGGCCCTGATATGGAATATTGTTTATGTAAATTATGCGTGCCGCATGATGTTGTATATTTTGCAGAAGAAATAAAAACATATCGTACAGTACAGCTGTATGTTAAACAAGAAATATTGTCAGAAAACTCGTTTACGGAATGTGACGAAGTTCGCCGACTTCGTGCGCGCAATATGCATTCTTTTTATGATATAGAAAAAGTATCATGAATTGGATCTTTTAATTTATTAACCATGCTAGTCCCGACAGCCGCAAACCTTTGCCTTGCCTATACATCTGTGTGATCTGACCGGGTTCTATCATGTAAGCAGCTTTTATTTTTACATTGAAATCCCTCAACCCCTTAAATGGACTGTTCCAAATTCAAAGCTTCTTGCAAGTTCATTACATAAATTAGGGATAATACGGATATACGTAGAGAGTATGATGAGGAAGCGAGATGCCTATCAAAAGAACACTATACTGGTTGTGAGAAACACGGAATCTAGTATACAGATATGCAAGATTCTTCCGTGATGTCATCTAATTGAATTTTAAATTAAAAAATGAATGTTACATGTACATTTGCTCAATTTAAATAAATTACATTACTCTACCTTTAAACCAGTAGCTTTTACAGAATACATGTAAACTGTATGGTGGTCGGCGGATATCTAACCGGTCACGTGGGTTGGTCATTTGAACCGCTTCGGAGTTTGCTTTTTTAAGAAAAATTTTTATTATGTTAAAACACAGCCCAATGTTTTATATGATAAATTGACTTTCTTTATCACTTTAAATGAAATTTTAGAACTTCATGAATTAATAAAGTACAATGTTTTCACGGTGTAAGAAATAAATTGGCAGACTAGATCTACTTATTTAAAAATAAATATGTCATAATATGGTAAATTACTTTAAATTTATTTGAAAATTTAAAATTTGTACTAAGAATTGAATACACTATTAAAATTAATATTTTAATTAATTCTAATGATTTATTTTTTTTTATTAAAAAACCTATACAGGTTTTTTTCTTCTTTTTTTTCTTACGAGAGTCGTGTTATCTTATATAATACATATAAAACAGATATAGATAATATTATAAATCTCTCTAAGTCTGTCACTTTTTGAACTCTTAAATATTCAAGATGTGTGTTCGCATGCCAGATTTATGTTAAGATTTAATTTTCACAGGTATTATAATAGTATAATAAGCATTGTGTTCTTTTGTAAAATTATAACAGTTTATTATATACGTTGTTTACATGTACGAGTACGAGTATAAACGTGTCACGGATTACTTCATTCATGTCGTTACTTAAAAAAGTTACACAATATGATTGTTTGTGCTATCGCTAAATCAAATTTACAGTGATGCTATGTTTTCATTATTTTTATTTCAAACACTAGTAAAGAATGGCACAGATTGGAGTGATTGGTTCAGTTGAAAAGTTTAACGGGTTAAAATAAATATACAATATACAATGTTTAGCGACAAATTTGTTTAAATAAAACTGGTTCATAATTATGAAATAAAAATATACCTGTTATTATTGTTGTTATTATTGTTGTTCTTGTTGTTGACGGCTCAGTTGGAGTTACAGATTAGCTGATAATGACGTAAATTGATTGGCAAATTTAACATTTGAGCCGCGTCATGACAAACCCAACATAGTGCGTTTGCGACCAGCATGGATCCAGACCAGCCTGCGCATTCGCGCAGTCTGATCAAGATCCACGCTGTTCGCTATCAGTTTCTCTACTAGAAGCAGACAGCATGGATCCTGATCAGATTGCACGGATGCGCAGGCTGGTCTGGATCCATGCTGGTCGCAAACACACTATGTTGGTTTTGTCATGTCGCGGCTCAAACAAAATGATAAATATTTCAAGTAGGATAGTCTCTTTTGCATAATGCACCAATTAAGCGATGGAATTCTTTAGTATGAATAAATATATTTTGATTAAACAAACCGAAATAAAGTTAAATCTTCTTGCCATATCTTAAACTTAACGTGAAATTTACCGCTTTACGTTTCGTGCCTTTTGGCCTTTATCAATTATCAAAGTTTAAGTATTTTTAAAAATCACTAAATCGTGGTGTTCTGAAATTAATGAAATACATGTACATTAAATGTTTGAAAACACAATTTAGACTAAATGTAAAATAATAAGGAGAAATGTAAACTAACCCATGTCATCAAAACTTGTGTACGGTTGAATTTAAATGAATAACACTGTATTTTATCTATAGGCAAATCTCACCTCAAACGCATTCTTAGTACTCGTGTACCCACTTAGAGGGTTTATAATCGCTGATAAAGTGTTAACGATACGAACCACTGAATAAGCTTGTTTTTGCCATCCGTAATTAAATCTGGTGAATCCGGCAACCAGAAAAAAATATATATACAATATATATATGATAAAGAATTATTAGGAATGACAGCGTTGAACGAGTAGATCTTAACCTGGCATGTGCTAAAACGATTCAATAATGAATACGAGTATTGCGTGTTGTAGAGTACATTAGACAATGGGTATCCAAGGTTGAGATAAAAATAAAACACCCAATATTTGTTTGGTTTATTTCTTACCTGTTTACAGTGACTTTGGTAAATATGTGTATAATAATAATTAACGTTAACGTACTGTTGCAGTACACTGCACTGCACAGCATTGTACAGCCGGACACGGCACGGCACGGCAAAACACAACGCAGCTCAGCACAAGACAATCCAATGCACAATACAATACTGCACAATACAATACAATACAATACAATACAATACAATACAATACAATACAATACAATACAATACAATACAATACAATATTTCTTTATTTAGTCAAGGTTACATATTTTGTAACACAGAAAATTGAAGACTAATATAAATATTGAACATTATGTTGGTACATTTAAACATATAACCAGATGTTAGAGGTAAATACATTTGTAAATAACATGAATTTGTTATTGTGTGTTTGTTTGTTTTGGAGTTTTTTTTATTCTGTATTTGTTTCTAAGGTTTATTTATTATCATTGAAAACTATCAACCGTTTTGATAATATAGAACGTTTTCTGTTGTTCTCTGATGATCTATCGAGAAAATTAAGATATTTAATTAACGCATGTTTACAAATACATATACTCTCTTAATATATAAACATTGTATTTTGCACACTAGCTTAATCACTACAAATTGCAATTTCTTTTTTCATTTTTTCATTTCAGGTGTTCCAATTTACTACGACCTTTTAAAACACATTGTTAATGAAATAGTTGAACGTGCTAGAACTCAATGGTTATTGGCTAAAGAAAAGACATAGAAAAGGGGAAAAAGTTTACGATCTCAGTTGTTTAATCAGTAGTGTATGAAATTGAACAGTGAAAGGTTGGGTATAAATGAATGGACCAAGTACATGTATATTTAAGGTTAAAAAAAAACTGGATATTTTCCGCTCTAGTTATTTAGAGTATTACAGTGTTATGTAATTATAACCCTGTCTTGCACGTGCAAAATTATTAAGGACATTTATAATATACCCTCAATAAGTATTAAAGCTGTAGTAACTACAGAACATATAAACAGAAATAAATATAATGACCAATCAATCGATTAAATAGTAAACTATCGACTCGGCTTATTGAGTATGGAATTGCAAATAAAGTAAGGGATTAAAAAGTGCGAGCGCTATTGGACGTGTCTAAACTGTAACTTTGAATGTGTGACATACATCTGCCGAAGAGGTCTTTGAAATAGGATATATAAATGTAACTTAAATAAAAGGATACAATTTAAAAGGAATTGCCACAGTAACCAGAACGATCATCGTTTGTGCTTTTATTTTTAAATTCTGGAGATTTGTTAGTTGCTGATAAGTTTTAAATTTTATTTATTTTTGTGATAAATAATATATAGAAAATTATAAACGATGAAATTATGGCTAGTTATTGCGGTAGGAATGGTCATACACGCCATATTCTTTTTCTCAATTTTTGAAATATACTTCGCCACACCGCTTGTGAATGGAATGACACCGCATCGTTCCCCTCTGAAGCCGCCGGCGAGGAGGCTGGTATTTATTGTTGCCGACGGATTACGTGCTGACAAAATTATGGAACTTATGCCAAACGGGAAAAGCCCAGCACCATTCTTAAGGTATGTTTAACTTTTTTGTTCTTTAACTGTTCTTTAACTCTGTTCTGTTCTGTTTAAAGCCGGTGTCCCACTTTGACCTAGTAAGTCACGACCTCGAGTAACGAATTGACCCAACTACCAATTTCAATAAAAATATGAATGATATTATGAATAAGACTTTTCTTAGATAAAGTTATCGAGATATTACTGTTTATTAAATACACAAACAAGGTTACCAACCAATGTCAGTTGGTTCAAACATGTGTTCCAGATTTTAACTTCCATATATGATTGTATAATGCACTAATAATCAGCTTAAATATTTGGCTTTATTTAAGCAGTATTAAACTTAGAGCCCCAAGAATACCCGCTTTCTATTGTATAGTCGTGACTCGTGAGATCACTATACAATAATAGTATTTAACAGAAAAACAGTTTATATATCTCATTTTTTGTTTCCTTACACGAAAACACAAACCTTTAGAACAACCAAAAAATATAAATATGAAAAATGAAAAAGTATAATTTTAATCATTCTTTAAAGATGGACTGACCAAAAAAGGACGAGGGACAACGGTATTAGTTGAACAATCGCGGCGTTTTAAAGGAAAGGGTTAAGCTTAAAACAAACAAATATTATTTACCGAAGCTTTCATATGACTTTACAAGTTCAATATAGGACACCAAAATGACTGAATTATGAAATTATGCAAATATCAAATATCGATTTTATAAGAAGATAGTATACCTCGTGAATGTACCCGTAACGCTTTGCACCATGAATGAATATGTACTTGTAATAGTTAATAATAATAAACTTAATTTTCTATGCCGGTACTGGGAATATAAAATACTGTCAAACCTGTATAGAGTGTACTGGGAATTGAAGGTCTGTAATATTAGTTTACCATAAAATGGTCCGATATTACTTATCGACATTTATGTAATGAATTGTTCGGGAAAAATACTATTATTCAGCATATAGATGCTCGGAATAAAGAACTCTATCAACATTTTTTGTCAAGGAATATTTATAAGAATTTCCGAATGATACATTTGAACTGTCTTTAGCAATATTTGAAATACTAATGGAAAATGCGCCCCTTGTAGACCAATCTACTTTAAACACCATATAATGACATATCTCTACCCAACCATCCATGTTATCTCCCAGCACATGAATGAATTAAACTGTGTGTACAAATTTTAACGACATTTTAAAGGGTGACCGTATATATAACTAGTATCTTTGACCCATTTATTTTGCCCGAAGTACATATTAGCTTGTATTGGAGAAGGTACGATTGAGAGAATTAAAGCTGGGGAGATGTATGCGGTTTCCGGTTACAACCCTCAGTATTCGTGAATGTTGTAATTTTAGACCGTCGTGGTGGAAAATGTGTTATTTCTTATTTTATCCATGAAGTTTAAGACCGAAATGTTTTGCGTTTTGTTGTATGAAGGGACGGCTTTTGTTCCGCTCAGTTTTAACATTTTAGTTTTAACGTGAGTCAGACAGAAAAAACTTTAAGTTTGTTGCAACCGCTTTCTTATCCGCTTCCTCGATACCAGTACTAGTGAAATATGGTCATTGAAAAAAATAATCATAACTCCTTTAGATCGAACTCACAATCCCTACGTTAGAGACAGGCACTTTTACTTCTACTAGCCTCAGTAACTTTACTACTACTAGCCTCAGCAACTTTACCACTTCTAGCCTAGCCTCAGCAACTTTACAACTACTAGCCTCAGCAACTTTACCACTACTAGCCTAGCCTCAGCAACTTTACTACTACTAGCCTCAGCAACTTTACTACTACTAGCCTCAGCAACTCTACAACTACTAGCCTCAGCAACTTTACCACTACTAGCCTAGCCTCAGCAACTCTACCACTACTAGCCTCAGCAACTTTACCACTACTAGCCTCAGCAACTTTACCACTACTAGCCTAGCCTCAGCAACTTTACCACTACTAGTCTCAGCAACTTTACTACTACTAGCCTCGACACCTTTGATTACATGTGTCTTTTGCTCGTCTTTCATCTCTGAATAGAGTGGTTCACCCGGAAACAATTGGTGGAGGGGGGGGGGGGGTACCACAGTTTTCTTCCTATCTAGGATTTGTCTGGTTTGGTAAATTGGTAAAAATGACACACTCCTGTAAAAGATAGTGAAATGAAAAACCCATTTTGGAATATGCATCACCCCTTTTCGAAATTTTTGCGACACCCGTTGGTAAGATTTTCTAGTTTCTCTGTTGCCTTTAATGACTAATATAAGATTACACTTTTGATGACGATCTATCACATGATGTGTGTTGACATAATAGCATGTGATTTATTTTGTCATAGCTTTTCGCCTTTATAACCTTATCGTTTGCTTGCTGAACGCTGATATATTCTTTAAAAAGTTAACTTTATCCCCTAAAGATAGGTAGTCGTGACTGAAGTATCATGTTTCTAACAGATGATCACGAATCACGAGTTTTCTAAGTTTTTTTTTTATAAACAGATCTGAAAGTGTTTGAGAATGTCTTTTTACCGCGTTTTTCAGTACTTTGAATAACAACAATACATAAATTCATAAAAGTGACGATTTGTTTACCATGCTGAGATGATTTATGTATCAGCTCTTATATGGAAATCATTTCAGACGTCTTTAAATCTCGCTATAAACACAATGATTATTGAATTTCCTATGGAAGCGCGTCTCAATCGTGCGGAAGTCGCGAAATGTCATTTCTTAACAAATATCATTTTCGCAAAATTAAACATGTCTCAAATCGTCTGTGTTAAAAACACATATCATGGTAATGCAAGATAATACATGTAGTAAGGAGCATCGTGCATTTGTTAGCTGATACCTTTCAGCACAGTCACGAACGTTAAACAATATGTCACGATTTCTTAAGCTTCATTACTTAAAATAGAAATAACATTTCAATAACGTCGAATGCACCCAAAGAAAATTTATCAGGTATTGTAAGCGTATTAAAGTTATTGTTTATATTTCCAATTTGATGTTCCTTCTTTAAGCTGACTTAATCTGTATCACGAAACATAGCTTATACTACTTCAGATATATCATGTATTCGCCCGTCCATCCGTCCGTTTGTCGTATTTCCAGCTAACATTGAAAACTACATCTAGATGGCTTGACTGTGGTCCAATGGTCTAAGAAATAAAGTTTGAAATTCTTACATCAATAGATCAACTGGGGCGGTTACGGAAATATATACAAACGATAATGAAGAAATATACTCAGAAATATATCTAAAATATGCTATTTATAATTTTGAGGTAAATATTAGTGTTTTGTTTACTATCCTTCGAGAACGTATTGTGAGAATGACTTGAAATTGTACACACAGTTTATTGGTCTAAACTACTTAAAATCCCAGTCATCATACATAATCTTTAGCCATAGACAATCGCTTGCGCTAATATATTATCAATCAATCTGAAGCAAAGGCACGGTGTTAACTATGAATCAATATTCAGTGTCTGAAGCGGGTATTTATCTACATGGTGTGGGCTGTTTGTAATATGAGAGCAGACTTCACTGATCGATGGTTACATCAATAAATTGTATACACCAATCTGCACAATTAAGGTGAAATATCCGTAATGAGTTACTGCATAGTCCATTGATCCAGAAACTTTCGCATGAAACCCTGTAATATTATAAAATCTGTAATATTGAAATATGTAATATATGTTATAAGAAAGGGACGAAACGTGAATATTGATTTATTACAATTACCTGTATAAATCATTACATTTATTGTCAACACAGTTTATGGTACTGTGCAACATTTTGAAGTTTTAAATGTCTAGGACGTTGTATTATGTCCCTGAGCTCTAGTGGACTATTAGGAGATCAACCCTTATTTCAGAATGTAAATTGAACCACTTGACTGTCAGTTTATTATCTTCTGTGTATTATACAGTCTTCTGCTTTGACACCGATGTTTGGAATGTTTAACTTTGTAAATAAACATCGAAATATTAGGTAATGAACGCGGTATGGGATCTTTCCCTTTTCCCATTTTTGATCACAACGAATTCTGACAGCTGAAAACGTATTCGGTAAAAAAACATTTTTGGGTATATCAGCGTGTTAAATGTTTGCAAGCAGGTGTCGAATTTCCTTTATAAATTTTCGGTCATTATAACTACAACTAAGTTTGTTTACCTACATTTTAACCTTTTACAAGTGTTCTCAATTCTGACTTCGGTAAGAGTTATTTATAGTCTTATATGTTTGTTTTTAGTCACAAAGATACGCGTGTGATGCATTAGTAAATTTAGAAATATTTAAAGCTCAGTGCTAAGAAATGAATTGGAATCGCTCCGTTATTTCCTTTAGAAGTGACTTCGATCTATTTATTGTAATCAATTACTTTGTTCAAATCAAGGCACATCAAGCATAGGAATGGACAACAATGTTTTCTGCCAAGGAAAGCAAATATGTGATAAATTTATCATAAAAGTTACAAAATGTAAAAGTATCTTTCAACACAACTTTACCGATGAAAAAATGTGTTTTGTGGCCTTTATGGGCCTTTAAATGAAGCGCCGTTGTTGTAAGTTATCCATATTTGATATAAAAACACTAATAACCATGTTATTTAACCATCAACCAAAAATTTACTATTTGATATACATGTACCTGTAACTGAAAGCTGACGATAGAAAAGTTTCAGTACATATTGTGTTTCATATTGTAAATATACAAATATATAGGTAAAGTTATTTAGCATTGTTATGAATAGGTAATGGTACGTAATTTCATATCAATGTATACTCTGTAATATGATATATAAATTACTGTCAATGATTGTGATCTTCAAGCTCTAAAAATGTAGAACAATTTTTATTTAACCCAAAGAAATCAAATAAATGTAAATAATGGTATAACAATGAATTGGGAGTATTTATAGAAATACTCTTATTATATACTGTCATTTCCCAAGTTACGTACTTTAAAGCATTCTGTTTCATTCTTAATTGTGATTAGGTAAACAATCAACATAAACCTTTACAGACAGACAGACTGACAGACAGACAGACAGACAGACAGACAAGTGAGAAAAACATGTTTCCCTCTTTAAACTATCAATTTTGACTTAAAATGCTTGGTCAATCATCCTTTTCTAATGTGTAGCACGATTGTCTCTTTATAGAGTTTAAAATCTAGGACACAACTGAAATCCAATAGCCATTCCCTTTTGTCAGGTTGATTAGTAGACCGATTATGCATTTAAAATTGATCATGTCGGTAAAGCATAATCAAACATGTCATATATTTATGTACAGTAAGACCAGTGCAAAAGAACACTACGTATTTGCATTATCTCGAGTAGTCAAAATACGCCATTTAGAGAATAATCCCCACATTTGGGGCCAAAACTCGTCAAAACAAAACCCACTGTCATTTAGAGTCTAAACACATACATTTTTTTGCAAAATTTTAAGTGTCTACAGTCTATTTATCAAAAAAGAGGACCGTTCGTTGTTAACAAGTTTGTCTGTATACCAAAATATGATCAATGAATTGTTGGTGTTTATACATGTATAACATGTATAAAGGCTAAAGGATTACTAAAATTTTGATAAAAGAATTAAGATAATCTTGCTTACGTCCAAGTTGGTATGATTTTGTCCTACGGGGGTTGTCGCGAAACTATTGAATATATTAAGAGTTTATTTATTCCTTTACGTAATCTCTATTATAATTCAATAAAGGAAATTGTGACATTTTGAAAAGTAAATGTTGACATTTTGAGATTGTAGACAATAGACACACAGCTTAAAAAATGAATTACAACCTTGTTTGTTCATCATCGATCTCATGTAACAGGCATTATTCAAATTGAAAAAAAAAGCTGAAAAAGTAAGAAAGGTTAAATATTTACTTGACCATAGGTCACCACTTACCTGAATTAAGTATCTTTTCCCATCGCTCTAGTACAGTCAATATCAACCTAAAAACAATAAGACTCAATTATATAAGTTTTTTCTAAGCAATATATGTTACATGATGTATAATATATTTATATTACTTCAGAAATATCATTCAAACGAAAGGAGGATGGGGCGTATCTCATGCAGCTGTTCCCACGGCAACAAGACCCGGACACGTTGCCCTAACTGCTGGTTTCTACGAAGATCCAACCTCTGTAGCTAAAGGTTTGAATGTTACCTCAGATTTAACATTTTCATGTGTTAAGAATGTAGCAGATTTGGATCAATTATTTAATAATTTGTCTCATCTTATTGTCTAAATTAACGAGATGATCAACTCATATTAAACAATTCGTATCCTAGATTGTAACAGCAGCATGCCTCCATATTCATGCTAATTTTCTTAAAATGTTAGAACATTTTTCTCAAGTTTGATTTTCTTGAAATATTTTGGCTCATCTGAAGACGTGCAGCTTTAATGGTAGGGCATGTATTCTGTTATGAACTAAATTACGACCGGAAACAATCTAACGATATACCACAGGAGTGTAATGTGACACAGTCATCTGAACAATTCATGTAAAAATTACAACCAATCTTCACGTTCACAAAATATGATATTTTCTGCAAGCATTTGTTTCATTTAAGGTAATAATCATTTAAATATTTGAGCTGATCGCGTTTATCATTATCCGTACATCTTTCAAAACCTTTTAAGTACGTGGTTTCTGGTATATCAACGTCATGGTACCCGGCTGTATTTAAGTACGGTTTAGATATCCTAAGTATTATGAGTATATAATGTTACGTTATAGAGGTATATTTTGTGTATTTATTTATGTTTCAGATCTTCAAGGGAAGGAGGTCATGTTTGACACAGTATTTAATGAGAGCCAGTATACATGGTCTTGGGACACGCCCAAATTTCTGGCCAAAGTTACAGGAGGTATATTTACATTCTTACATTTGTAATGGTAAAACTTATCTAGTAACAATAGTTAAAATTACCCAACTTAAAACTGGCAAGTTTGGTTTTTCGCGATTTGAAGTATTTGAATGAATTGACAAGAATGGAACAAGATGTGGCTGTCACACACTAAAGGGGACCCTTTCTAGTAGAGTACCAATATTTAGATCTATAATAATAATAATGATAATAATAATAATAATAATAATGATGATAATAATGTTAATGATAATGATATGATAATGATGATGATAATAATAATAATGATAATAATAATAAAGACTTTATTGAACAAGAGAACTCCTTTGAACAACTTGTCAATCTTCCACAAAGAATAATATTCGGGGCACTTTACTGTGATAGCATGTACAGCGTCGATCAAGTTTTTGGAGCATTATTAAGTAGGGAACCCCGAGGAGCTCTATGCCGCAACGACTACGAATAGTACATCTCTTGGTTTTGTATTCGAAAGGATCACTTTAGGATGTGACGATCCCATTAGAGTGTGACACTGCACAACTTAACATTACATTGGATACGTACACATGTACAAAATCAATTAATGTGTGATAACAATCATATTACAATGCACAAGTAATGCATACAGTTTATATTGAATACATTTTTTGTTCGTCATGTAAAATATCAGATGAGATAAGTGTATGCATCAAGGGTCCTAACAGTTGAATATCTTCAGTTAAAATGTCATAACATCCACTTGAAAACTTCATTCACTTCATTTTTGATAGAGACAACATTAAAAATCCATTTAGAGCACTTCACAGTGAAAGTTCCCTGTGAATTCAGATAAGACATTATTATTGAAGTAATGTTTAGGTCATTAAAGAGCGCGTGCCTTCCATTATTTTTTAATGTCACATGACCAATCCTCATTTGTCTATATTTGGCAGGAATGCTGGTTTTTGTAAATTAATGGTGAAATTATCGAACTACGAACACCAATTTGTTGTTGCTCAAATTAGCTTTTGCGTGTTGTGTGTAAATATATTTATAAAACTTTGTGATAATTGATAATTGTGACATCAAAATAAACAAATATAAACAATAAAAGAGTTGTAACTCTGTGGCATTACTACAAGAGTTAAGGCTCTATTTAGAATGTTTTGCCCATTGTTGTTTTCCCCCAGATCATGTCTTTGCTGTATATAAGTAAAAACTGGGGTTAACGTCAAAATTGTTCGTTATTGTGACGATACCTATTATCTGTTATTCTGCTAGTGACTTGTCTACTTACCTGGAATAATACTTCCTTGAGCAGGAGTAAATGACTAAAATCCATCTCACATTTTTAAAGACATTCAGGTGTCATTGTTGTTTTAACGCTGTATATACTTGTTTTATTGTTATTATATCATGAATTGATGTTAAATATTTTACAGGTAATGCAAACCGCATGTTTTCATCGAAATATCCTGGCCATATGAAATGGTTGGCCGGTATAAACGCAGAGGACATGGACTCGTGGGTGTTTAGGGAAACACATGTAAGTTGAAAATTAGTATTTACATTAGCTAGGATAGTGTGGGGACCGTAAAATATCACCCAGTATGTATTCCCATACGTTTTAGTTCCTTCAGCATTGTTGGCGGTAATTGACTCTTTCCTGCTGATGCTGATGCTGCTGCTGTTGTTCTTGTTTGTGTTATCTGAACACCCCGTCTCGTAATATTGATAAGGCGAGCAATTTATGTATAAAAGAACAATAATGATAATGTTACTACCAAAATAGGTAGCCTTTAAGAAAAAATAAACCTTTTTATGTAGTTCCTTTTTATTAAATGAATGAAAGAATGCATTTTTGCTGGCATTAAAGCACTGCGGTCTATTAACATTCTGAGAAAAAAAAAGAGACAACAAAAAACAACAACATTGAAACAACAACAACATAATACATAGTTCTTATTTATCTAAAAATTTTAACTTAATAAATAAGTAACATGTAGTTAACACATACTCAAAAATACCCCATGCTAATATAAATGCTGAGTAATGCATTCTTTTCAATTTTTAAATCTCTTAATTCTTAAACTTCTCCACGTAATATAGGCCAATGATTTAAATAGTTTCAATTGAATAAACCCATAAAGTAACATTTAAATCAGTACGTATTCAATGTCAAAAATAGGTATGATCACTTATAAAATCAATACTAATTCACTATCTGTTCAATCAAATTGCATGTAAACCTGCATACCGACATATTTAGTGACAAAACATTGATGATAACACGTGAAATGTTCGATTATCATTAAATTTTAATTAAAGGTATGTGTGTTGATAACTGCGTGGGGTTTTAAATTAACGAATTTCTTGTTAAATACGCAATAATTAATTAATTGAGAATATTCAAGTGATAATACTAAGGTAGAATGTTAAAAAAAGACCTATTACAGAAACAGCAACAGCAGACTAAAAAGCAAATTATAAATATATATGTAAAGAGTATTTCAATAATTTAAACAAATACGAGTACGTTGTATGTTAAATCAGAAGACGTTAAGTCTTTATTTTCATTAATCAATACAAATACTCCATAAATCAAAAGAATAATAATTTGATAAATCAGTCTGATAAAAATTAATAATTTGGAGAGAATGAACTTCCTTTTAAATCCTGTTTCCGTTTATAAACTGCTATTAATCTTAGATTGCATGTAAATATTTCATACCCATATGTGCACACCTGATAAATAAAAGTAGCATGCCTGTGAAGGTGACGAAAACACTCAATAAAACTGCCATCACGATTGTATTTTATCAGATTATTGAGTTGCAGGTCGGAATTCCGCCTTTCTTCTGTTGATACTACGTGCAGTGGCTAGGCTTTTTTCAAATATACATGAATTTGGTTTAAAATGCGGGCCTATGTGAGTAATTCATTTGGTTTAAAATCCGGGCCTATGTGATAAATTAATCACATGTTTGTTATTTTATCTAAACAGGCATTTTCGGGTAAAGTTACAAACGATAACTGTTAGTAATAGAAAGAGCATCGAAAGACGAGGCTATCTGATTTGTTCGAGGGGGGGGGGGGGCGAGCGAGTGTTTGATCGCCGAGTGTTTTGATGTTCTTTCTCTTTTGTATCATAGTTAAACCCTGTTGTCACAATATGAAGCCGCAGAAAAAAAGGAACCCATGAACGGGCATCTGAATATGATATTTCTGTCGCTTTCCCTTTCTCTGGCGTCACAATAAGTAAACCCCAGCAAAAATGAGCCAATCAACGGGCATGCTCTGGAGTGCGGGTAACTAATACCTGTACTCCAGTTAACGATTTAACTCTGACACATTTTCAACATAAAGGTCCCCAAACTATAATACCACTTATTTAATATACAAACGCAGTTTTTTTGTTTCTTATTGCCATTGATAAAGGTTTTTAAATAGGAAATAGTAATTTTCAGTTGCATGCCAAACGCGTTTTCAGTTCCAATCAGTATACCCTTTTGTTCATATTTGTTATTTAAACCAGCAGATTTTTTTTCATATAAGATAGAAAAACAGCTTTAATATGCTATATATTGCGGTGGTATTTCTTCTGTATACATTTATATTGTTTGTATTCCTTACACGAACATATGCCCTTGCACTGATGAATGACTGAAACGACATGTAACGGTCAGATCAAATTCGAGTTCAAATGTATAAGTAATTTATTTTGTTTATTTCAGAAACTTCTGGAGAATGCCAAAACTGACGAAGTTCTGAAAGCCAAGATGGCGGAGGACCAGATTTTGTTTTTTCTACATCTTGGAGGCCTCGATCACAGCGGTTATATCGTCAGACCAAATTCAGAGTAAATATTTAGTAATCTTCTGTTCGAAACGTTTTTGACACATATGACTATATGTTATGCATGAAGTAGACTGCAAGGGCAAAAACGGCAACTTTTCAAATTGTATTGTTTGAAAATATAACGGTGCTTTGACTGTAATTTATGGCTATAACATTTCATTATTTAAAATCATGCGGAATTATGTTATTGAATATTGATATACGATAGCTATAGTTCTGATCTTATTGAAAACTGTTTCAATATAAATGCATTGAAATTTAGAAAAATACTTTTTGTTATAAGATATTTACATAATTCGAACTAAGAAAAGTTTACCTATATTAAGTTTACGTATCATTATAATTATGATACAAGGTCAATATTTGCATTAACAAGTATGTAATATCTATAACATTTTTTTACTATAAATAAAATTAAAAAGTAAATTTGATACCTGAGCATATGATATAAGTTATGTAGATGAAAGATTTTCAATGAAGTTTTGATAAATACTTAAAGAACGAAAGACTATAATAACCACTATTATAACATATTTCTTTGTAGACGAAAATTCCGATGGAGTGTTTTTATAGTTATTTAAATTTTGTAATATTGAAATATATTTTAATTTCTTGAAACTCTTCAACCAGTTTAATCCACGGCATGTTTTTGTAAACAAAGTATAATATTCTATATTTGAGTATGATTTCATCCTATGTAAGCCTTAAACAACTTATAGGGTCATTCTACCTCCATAAGTTTAATCAAATCGTATGTGGCGTACTTCTTTTTTATGCATTATACCCTCTCCGGAGCCATCATTTTTTCTCATGCATTTATTATCATATTTTCCAGGGCTTACCTTAATCATATATCGTTTGTTGATGAAGGGGTAAGGAAGGTTGTGGAAGAGTTCGAATCACATTACAATCATGATGGTCAAACAGCTTTTGTCTTTACATCAGATCACGGAATGACTGACTGGGGTTTGTACTATTACTTATTTAAATTCTACCCCCTCCCCCCTCCTTTATTCAAATTAGAACACCTGACACGGCTAAAAATGATAATTAATGAGCTTGAAATATCACTAATTAATGAGCTTGAAGTATCACATGATTCGACAACCTAGATTCGTACATAAATTCTTTGAATACCGCGGGCTCTCCAGTATAGATTCCGGAAATATATCCGATTTTTACGGAAGTACCCGACGTCATTGTAAGCATAAAAGATCTTGTATAGAATATTGTGTTTATCACTATCTTATTGATGATTGTTTTCATACTTAACGGTTTAATTTCAATTTGATACACCTGATGCTATTCCCATTGATATGCTACTTGTAAATTAATACTTTCATTGAAACTTAATATTCATCGCCACGTGTGAGTAGCGTCTAATAAATTATGTATTCACTTGAAGTATAAGCGTTTTACAGCAAACGTATGACTCGGATAGATTTGTTGTTTATTGTTTTATTTGTCTGTGCTGTTTTGTTATTTGTTGCTGCACCTGTGTATTTGTTGAGTTCTATAATTATGTAATGCACGATACTACTTCGCCTAAATAGTCAACCTCGACCACCCCAACCCTTATACATACATGTGTGTTTAAGGAATTTAGAAGAAAAGGTTCGAAATAACCGATACATTGTGCGTAAAACAGAACTCTTAGGATCACGTGACAAGAAATCAGGAGCCTATAAATGTAACAACATGCGATAGAAAAATATTTAATATACTTCATAATAAATGGTTCGTTTTCCTTAGCAACAATAAACGGGAACTGTGTCACGTGATGAAAAGCACTATATATCTTTAAAGATTCTCGGCAGTAAAAATATATGGACTGAATATCGATTTAGAACAAAAAAATAATCTTCCTACAATTGCTTTATCATTCTTTGATTTCACGCATGCGCAGATCTGAAAAGAAAAAAGGGGCGACTAAATGAAGTTAAATGTAATTTTGTCTTACATTTACTTAATTGCAAGTCTTTGTAAATTATATAAAATATTATATCATTTCACTTTGCTAGTATTTTATTGAATGGATTAATCCACAATGATTTGTAATCATGCTCTAAACATTATAATTTGATCTTATCTTTTCTTTGAAGCATATGTCCGCTATTGATAATTATTTCAGAGCAATAGTGATGTGTAATTTATGTACTAGAGTACACAAATTACGTCCTTTTTTATAAATACGCAAAACTGTAAAAGTACATGTAGGGGTATAAAAAGGCAAAAAATGTGTGGTACCTTACTTAATCTTGGCACCACTTCAATTGACATATTTGGACTCACTGTTAAATTCACCGAAAACAGTCACTGGCCAACTTTGATCGACAAGAACTAAACTCGCTCATTCAATGTAGTTTTACTTTTCACGGTTACTGGTAATTTTTCACTGACATTGACTCGCTTTTCTAAACATGGCTTCACTGATGGACTAAAGATAAATGAAGGAACAAACTAACAATACTGACACGTTCAATATCAGAAAGAATACATTGTGCTTTTATAAGATGTTTCATTGTCTATCTGTTGAATCTAATTTGTTGAAGATTAGAATTTATCTCGCCTACCTTTCTTAATTAGATTTTATTGATCTGAAGGAAAACCTGTCAGCTTTGATGTACCGCGTTACTTTAGTTTATCATGTATACAACATAGCATAATTTATGTTTGTTTTCACCTTTTTTGTTCATTTACTGAAAGGTGAATACAGTTGTAAATAACGCATACTGCACTTATACATCTTTGTACGTATGTATTTGTAAAGGTCAGTGGGGCTAAATTTGCTGTAAATTTTGTTCGAAAGTCACATGTCTTGATAGTTATATGGTGAACCCTTTAGTCTATAATTTCAAGTGTTTGCCGTTATACATGCAATAAATACATTGTACATGTACTACACGTTTGTAACGCCAATTTTTCAGGTGCAAATTTATGACTATATCTTTATCTTAATCAAAATGATAAAGTCATTTTTAAAGATTGTTGACATATGAAATATAACGAAAGATTACATTGATTGCCAGTTTTCGAGCATATGTCTCTTTCGAACAATTGTAAAATTTGAATTTTTCTTGTCACATTGACATTTGTTTTATTTCGTTTTCCAACATGCAAAATTAATGTAATTCACTATTGCAATCCCAGTACTAAGTATATACCTACGTATTCAGAGTTCGTGACCTTTTGTTCACTGGTGTTTGAAAATTACTAAGTCCTGTATTCCTTTGGGTTATACATCATTATTTAATGGTTATAGCTTGTAGATGTTAAATGAATCAGATAAGAATATAACCGATGCTGTTTAAAGGAATAGTCGACAAGGGACTTATATATAATAGCAATATGCGTCTGTTGAATTGATGTAATGTAATGACAATGTATTCTGGAAATACGGCAACATTTATACAAACTTAAATGTGAATTATCAGAAACTAAGCAACATTCGGAGCACCTTACCCATGTCCCACAATCGGATCGTCCTAGACACATGTCCTTATCCGAAGACTGACGGAAAAGGGCGGAAGAATTGCGTTTCTGACCAACAGCCCTTGTCGAAGGACCGAACATTAAAGATTGTGTCGGCATAAGCCGGTAATCTTTAAATAAGTACGTTATGATAAGTTAATAAAGTTTTCTTTTGTTATTTATCAGTATGATTTATTGGAGAGAAAAACAACCCACGTTGTTTCCTAGTTTGTACTAATACTTGAAAAATACATGTATAAGTATTGATAATGCATTGAATTCTAAATCATGTGATCAAAATATTGGGTCCTAAACGCTAAGTAAATATTTTGATTCTGTTGGGAAGGAATATGAAATATTGTTGTATCAGAATGTTGTCATAAATGATAAAGGACAATCCTCTTCATGAAGTTATTTATAGATATATTTAAAGGCACACTATGCCTTAGAAATGCTGTCATTTTTGTTTCGCTCAAAAACTTATTATTTTTGATATCTTGGTACAGTTTCCAAAAATTTAATCATTTGTCATATAGATGAACTATTTTTGCTTCTGTTGCTATGTTTGCAATAGGTATAATTATAGTGAATTAATATTTTCTATGGATGTCAAAATACTACTTTGGTTACATTTTGCTACCTTTACAACACATGTTCAGCACTATTTCAGTGAATTGTTAAACATTTAGCGTGCTCTTAATCCATTATTAAAACATTATAAAATACATATTTGACATACATTTGATATTTAAAGAATTACAAAAATATGGTTTTCTGAGGCACATTGTGCCTTTAAAGTGATCTACTTCAACTCTCGCTCTGATGCGATGTCAACATCCGTGTTGTTTTTCAATAATGACAAAATAATGTTATCAATATAAAAATGAATTATTCATATACAATGCCATTCTTTATCCTGTGTATTAAGCTACAGTATATCCCTTAACGAGTATGAATTAACAAACAAGATAGCTTTAAGCAAACGAATGGAAATGAACCAAACGAAGAAAACAAAAGCATACACTGTAAAAACATCTGTACATGTATTTTTGTTAAAAGGTATTCTTTATGAAAATAATTATATTAATCGTCATAAATGGTGGGAAAGCTTCAATGGTCATGTTATCTACTTGTAACCGAGGATTTACAGGTTCGAATCGTATAGGTGACACGACTACGTTTCCTTGTATAACTCCGGTTCTGTTTAAAGCTGGTTGCCTCCAGATGAGCCAAGATATTTGCAATGTGCAACTTCTTTTGTTCACAATGTTTTATTACAAAAACAAAAACAAACAAAAACATGAAAATTCGCATGAATCAAGGGGCATGCTGCTTTAATCATGAAGGTAAAATTTATGATATGAGATAAATACCCTTTTTCATGGATGAACTAAGATATTTTATGTTGGTTTACATAACCATATCTCGTTATAGTATGATGAAATAACTATTTTTAGTATGTGAATATGTTGCATGAACATTCATCTTACGATATGGTTATTTAAACTAACTGCACGATAGAATGTATGTAACCTGGCTACAATTATTTCTCAATCGTCGGAAATCTCGGAAAGTGAGCGCTGAGGAATCTCGAGAAAAACTCAACAATCAGGAAATGACTAATGTCTAAACAAGTCTTTTCATTTAGTAAAATTTGGCACGATTTCTAGTGTCCATGTAAACTACAGTAAATCAGTACATGTGTATTATAAATTTCTATCATATTTTAGGAGCTCATGGGGATGGTACCCCAGACGAGACTTTGACTCCTTTGATAGCATGGGGACCAGGTCTACGTGAACCCGCGAAAGAAGACAGAAAATACCGGGATGGTCTTTCCAAAGGTTCGTTGTTGGTCGTTACGATTCGTTTGTCTACCATAGATTATAGGCGATACATTGTATTCCGAGTCAAGATTTTGTTATTGTATACACACAATTTTATCTCTAAATCTTATGAAATTGTCAAATTATTTGGATGTGGAATAAGAACTAAATGTACTTTAAATAGTTTTACTATTGTCTACATATTAAAGTATATTTATGTAAGGTCTGACATTACTAAATTCCACGACGTAATGCTCCTAAAAACGGGTGAACCGTTTGGGGTCTAACATTTTTAAAGCTGCGTGCTTTCATATGTTCAAAACATGTTCAAGAAAAAATCAATTTTGAGAAAGTACACTAAGATTGAAAGAAAAGAAAAATATTAAAATATTCACAATTCAGTTAAAAATTTACTTGCTATTTGCAATGAATGACTGATTTTGCTGTATACATCATCATATTTCTACTGCATGACTAATGCAGAAAGGCTTATTTTTGCATGTTTTGAACTTTATTTGGTAATTATCCTGTATTTAAAGTGTTGTTAGCAATGTGTAAATTGTCGATATTTTACTTTTTATTACATTTCATGAAAAATTAGCATGATTCTGGAGGTGTGATACTTTAAAACTAAATTGAATATTGGTATTTTACTGGTCATGGCTTCTATTTTTAGCATGGAGTCTAACTGGATTAAAGCGGACGGACATTAACCAAGCAAGTATGGCAGCGTTTCTTGCGGCTTTGGTTGGGATACCATTCCCAATGAATTCTGTGGTAAGTTTATGTTCCGTCCAGCACGTTAAGTAAGCTTCTGCAAAAGGTTATGGCATTATATGAAAGATTGAACATTATCTTCCTACATTAAAGACGTTGTAAGGGTTTAACTGTAAGCAACTGTTATCGTTTAGCCGTTTGAACCCTAAAAAGAACGTCAATGTGAACATACAGTACTTGAATACTATTCACGTTTTAAAGATAATATATGCCCCGTTTCCAAATTTGACACACAGCTTGAGTTTTTTCCTTATGTATCTTCTTGACACGATCTCAATTGGTATATAATATTTAAATAAACGTTTCTTTTTTCTAAGTGCGTATTTTAGTTTATTGTATTTGTTGTTGTAAGAGATGAAAGTGAAACTTGGCCTGGAATATACTCTATCTATAGAATGAGTTATCCTGGATCTGTGGAGATATACAATATTTCACCATTCTGGCGTATTAAAATGATGATGATGATATTGAAACTACTAGTTGACAATGTCAGCTGAACAATTATCATGTATTAACAGTGATTCTATAACTTTCTATATGTCTCCAGAGATTTCCTATGTTAAAACTAACAATTATTGGGATTTTGTTTTCGTTAATGATATTCGTTTCCTGCATTACACTCCCTACAGACATTACATTCAGGGAAATGGTATTAATATCTGATATGGATTGTCGTTATCAAATAAATTCATGCTGTTTTAAATGATATTAAAGCAGAATATTCATAGGTGTTTATAAGTACACTTGTACTGCCTTTATAGCGTAAGATGTTTTGAGTTCGGAAAATATTAACAGTAATGCATGTATCAGTGTTCATATCATATCATAGATAAAGTAACTGAAAATGTTTGAATTGTGATACACACGGCTATTATCTGTAACTCTTTAGCAATTTCTCATATCATGAAATTAAATCAAATATATAGGTTATTTAAATAATGATATACGTCTGTATTTATCTCAAAGCTATGATATTAAATTTCATCTTAAACATATTTAATTGTTGTTTGTTAAAAAGAAATAAGAATATCCACAAGGAGAAATATGACTCTGAAAGTAGAACCAATGTTTAAATAGTGATTTCAGGTATTGATCACGTGACTCTACCACGTTTCCTTCTTCCCGATCATATTTCATAATAGGGTTGAGTAAATAAATGATGCAATAAATTAATAGAATGCAAGAACTTCAAGGAGGCACTTACATTATAATATGTACAATTTCAATCGAAAGACAATCAAAATATATTTAAAGTGTCGTCATATTTCAATTAGAACTGTGCCTCATTATGACAGAACCTTTCCATGTTTTATTAAAGTATCGATCCATATTTTCCTCCTATAATACCCGTGTCGTGTTTTCGAAACTCTTCTTTTTTGCAGTATGAGAGTTGAATATTTTTGCTACCAACGCTTTTGTTGAATGCTGTTGCGTAGTTTTAGCATGTTTTCCATCAATACTAAGTGTAGAGTCATTGTTATTGTTCTTTCAAAGCATACCATTTCGAATTGAAACATTTAAAAACTGTTAAGTATTATTTTAAAAGATCGCATTTCGTTAGTTGATATCTTTCTCCAGGCGTCATTATTTAGACAATACTTATGCTGTAAGTTATGTTTAAAACTTCAATACCAGCAACAATCGGAATTGTTTTAATATATGAGTATCAGGGGAAGTCATTCATGAAAAAATATGTTGAACACAAACACATTCGTAGAGAATTTTGACAGGAAGAAGTAGTGGCTTTTGGAAATGCCAGCTACAGTTAGTTGTCATATTAATATATATCATCCCCGCTAATCGATCGGCACTGAAGCAGTAGAACCTTCATATATTTGATAAGGAACCTTTATAGATCATTAATTATTTACGATCTTGTCATTAGCTTATTGTAAGATTGTCGTCTGCTAATTGTAAAATTAAACGGTGAACAAGTACTTTACATTTTACTGATTCATTAACGGTCGAACAAATAGACGTTTATGACATCTACTCACGATTTCGAAAACTTTAATATCAATGGAGAGAAAGGATTGAGGTCAGAGCTGTGTGTGTTTAGAAATGAGCTCAGGCGTTGTTACTGTAAAAAAAAACATTCAGCTCACATACCTAAAACAATTAAATGATCATTTATTGAATCAAGTATTGTTGAAAGAATTATAGAGGAATCAATAGATAAAATGCATTTATAAGTTTGTTTTAAACGCCCATTTCGTCATTTTTTCCGAGAGCAGCATAATGAACCATTTTCCTTCTATTTCATTCACTATACATATATATCTACATAGTTCATATGTACATAGTCTAGGAGGCAGATTTTTTTCCTGTCAAATCAATAAATCACTTTTGATGGTATATTTTAAACTGTCTAAAATATATCATTAAAATTACCATGACAACGAAAATGAAGTTTACGACAAACACTGTAAGACAATACAGACAAACATACGTCCGTGTCAGGTTACCAAGGAGGTTTTTCCCGTTTTCAAAGAATACATGTATAATATCATTATTATAAAAACTAATTCCTGACGCTAGAAATGTATCCGTTGGGTGCGATATATAAAAAATCAAACGGAAATTAAATATAAAACTTTCTTGACTATCTTCATAAAATGACAATAAGTTTATTGATTTATTTTCTTTAAGATTTCAATACTTTTCGTTATTTCATATTGGTAAAATTGTCATACTGTGGCAAAACATTTTTTTTTTCTGTTTTATTTGATGTTTAAAACTAGTTTTATCAGAAGTTTATGTCGCACGTGAATTTGCAATAAAGAATTATCTAGTGAAAAAAGCGATGATAGTTTTCACGTGACTCCACTGACGCCAAAACCCAAAGGCTAATGCTTTGGAAAAAAATCTTTAATTATTTCCTGTACTTACCGGTTTGAAGCTGAATGATTTTTTTAAACCTCGTAGCACTGTTAGAATTATTACTTTAGCACTGCATATCTCTATGGAACTTTCCAGTTGTTTTGCAGTCAACTTTTCTAGCTATATGTCAGTTACTTACAACAAAACCATTTGCTCTTGTGTATAACATCTCATTCGGTGTCTATGCAATATTGCAATGTAGCAATTTGATAGCCAGTCAGTCAATTTGCACTATTGAGTCCATCGAATGTGACCTTGAACTGACGTAACATACAACGGATAAGACTGTTAAGGCACCTACAATGAAATTAAAGTGTCTAAAATGTGTCTTAGAATAGCCCTAGTTGGTAGCGACAGATATTAAGTTCAATACTTTGCATATACCTGTATAAAGCATGTTTTACGTTTTTGTATTTTCTGATCGCAAGATCAGTAAATACAAAGCTAACATCCACGGTCTAACACAAAATTTCCTAACAGACCTAACAACGCAAAGTAGTTCTCACTCAAAACTGCTTAAAAAACAGCAATTTAAAAGAAAAAAATAATTTTTAATGTAGGCATTTAACGAATTACAGTGCATTAAAGGTTTAGATTAGTCAATAGAAATATGAGGTTACAATCACAAATTTCGCGGATGAATATCTTTTTTACCCAATGAAAAATGTTCGGCTATTTTCGTAAATCATGAATGCACAATGACAAACTACGCGGATGAATATCATTTTAATCAATGAAAATGCTATGTTTAGCTATGTCGATTACCGAATACTCCAGATAAATCTGACTGTCGAGTAGTGGAATATATACATGTCGGACTGTTTTGGCGCTAAATTATTTTCATCAGTGTTAAACAACAGGTTTATCGTGAACAAAATACCTCGAAATAAGTAAGGATTACAAACACGAAATGGAAATACACCCATAAACACTTTTTATATGAACTACGTAAATAACCGAGGTATATCAAGTGAAAAATACGAGTTGTTTCCCTTATCTTCGAGTAAAATTGGTATCTCTTACGATAAAACAATACAAATTAAGCCATTTTTAAACCGCTAGTTTGTCCGATTTTAAAAATTATTACATCAATGAAAAGCTTAGGATCTTAGCTTTGTCACAGTATATAATTTTACATATCTTTTGACACCAAAGTATTTAAATTAACTGTTAAACCTACCATATGTCAGCCCATTTTACAAACGATTTATACAGTGAGATACGCAACCGGTTATCTTTACTCGAAAACTTACTCATAAGAATAGCCTGTCGTCTGCTAGTATCGGTATTTAGAATTACAATGCATTTGCTTTTATTCAAGCTACATACGTATTTATTCAACGTGGTTCAGAGGTAGCGCGCTCGTTTAAAGTGTGAGAGGCCTAAGGTTAAAATCCTAGTTGAGGCATTTTTTTTCTTTTGAAGTGTCTTTTTTAAGGAAGTAGTCACGATATGCAAGGATAAAGTGTGGCTGTCATAAAAAATGAAAAATGATTTTTTGATGCAACTCTAGGTATGCAAAATTCCATGAATTATATAGAGGATATTGAATGAGTGTAAGTTCAATACTGAATTTATTGCACGAGTTGAATAAAATTATATTATGCGAGCCTCTGGCGAGCATAATATTATTTTATTCAACGAGTGCAATAAATTCAGTAATGAACTTACACAAATTTAATATTCTATTTATCACATACCCAAAAATAAAGACCGTTTAAAGTGAAATTAACAATTTTTCATTGACGCGCCTGTAGTATAACGCTAACATTTAGCGCGTCTTTACACTATGTTTGTATAACGCTAATGACTTCACGTCAAAATATATGCACGGCCGTGCAATACCATATTTACGGAGTCGCAAAATCTGCACGGGTGTGTGATAAGTATCAATCTCAAACTGTTCTAAAAAAGAAATCTAAACGCAGTCGCTGCGTAAGATGAATTATAGTATATAACAGGAAAATACATACAGATAGTCAGTGTGATTTAGATTGCAAAGATCAGAAAATACCACAGAGCTTGCAGCCCTTTGATTATACATGTAAAGATAAAAGAATGAAAAGTCGATACAATTGATAATGTTACAATATTTTATCTATACCAAATGCACATGTATGTATCTACTTTATACAAAAACTTTGATTAATTTTTCAACTTTCAGTTACCTGTTCCGGACAAGTTGTTTAATATTACTGACCATGAAATGTCCGAGATGTTGTTTGCAAACCTCAGGCAACTTCTAGCACAATGTGAGGTAAGTACCCAGTGTTTATATGTGACGTCATTTCCTGTCATTGATGTAATGAAGAACGCATGCAAAGGCATACTTATTATGAAACTTTTGCTTTTAAAAAAGCAAGCCCCTTGTGTACGAGGGGTTGCCTTAAAATGTTGAGGCCACCGTTTATCCCTGCGTGACTAAATTAGTTCAAATTACTGTAGTTATTCGTCTCTGAGCTCCAGCAGGTAAGATGGTTTTGACCCCACGTGTTGCTTTGAAGTTTGTAACGCCAGAGGTTAGCCAAAATCGTCTTTCCTATCATTTTTCCTGTTTCGGCGTAATATGACCTGCAATGTGTTTGTGCGCTGTTAAACCATATAAACAAACAAAGCAAGGTTAATAAATAAACAATTAATGCAATAAAGCTAGCGTTAGGCACTAGCAATCGACCTTAGATACGTAAATTGTGTCAAAATTCACAAAAAAAATACCTTTATCAATTCGTAACGAGGTAGAATTATAGTAACTTTTATGACATTTTTTTTTCTCTTGAGGAGTATATCTTTAAAGCTTTATGAGGGGAAAGACTGAATAAATAAAAGTAGATTTGCTTTGAGCTTTTTATCTTTACCTTACTTTGTTACATAGCATATTTGAATATCATTCAATTAGTTTCCGTCAGGGGTGTCTGTTTCTTAAGCATTGGAGAATTTAAGTGAAAGTGTTTTGAATATTTTAAGACCATATATGATAGGACAATCAAATGAATAATGTCGGCAAGATTTGTGTGATTCGGTCTCCTGTCATGTATTTCGTCATTGTTAATTTGTTAATATTTTGTTATCATCATAGTTTTATAAATTTATAAATACACATACACATGTTTCCATACATGTGCCACCTAGCCTATTTATCCGAAATTTTATGTTTCCGATCTTTTGCTACTTAAACGTTATCTTATACTCTCACGTTAAAGCTATTTATATTTCAGGCATTGCGAGAAGATAGACAGGAAACTTCAATGAAAATAACATTTAGACCATTTAAACCTCTGGACTCCGATTCTACTGTAAGTAGTCTAATTAAAAATTTAAAACTGATTCTAAATTGTTTTGTGCAAAGTGATTGTTTACAATATGTAAGAGTATTCTGAAGCCTTTTGAACATATTTAAAACCTAACCTGAATTTCACTTTGAGTTAGATTTCTTGATAGTTTAAAAGAAAGCTGTTGCCGCTCTAGGAAATCCTTTTTATTCCATCTAAACTTATAACTGTGCAAACGCATATATATTATAATTTCTTAATTTTAGGTCAACCTCCAAAATGACATTCGAGCAAAAATCAACAGTAATCGCTACAAAGAAGCTGTAAGTATTTCTTTTTGCAACCTTAGTTGTGATATTAAGATTAAATTAATGATTTTTTGCACAATGTTTTCGTTATTGAGATTGAGGTTGCCTAACATATATGTTTTAATATTAACAGTATCATTTAAAACTCTATACTCTTCCATTATAAACATGATATTAAAAAATAAAGAAAATGTGTTTAACGTTACCATATTATATATGTATAGATATATGAAAGTATGCCAGGAAAAAGTTATTTTTGAACGACTTATTTAAATGTACTGTGTCCTCTTTTCTATTATTTTCTAAACATTGATTCAGTGTTTTTTTCCCTTGTACTATTTCATATATTGAAAAATAACTTGTTTTATTGTGTTTTTATCAGATTGAAGAATCTAAAAGAGGAATTGAGATGGCACTAGAAGGAATTCGATATTACACAACATATGATAGACAATATCTCTGGTGAGATAACATTTTATTAAATTGATGTTATTATCATCAGTTCTCTGAGACTTTGCTGGAAATGTATTGCAACATAAATTTGATCGTTTTCATATTTTACACTTTTATAGCCATTTAATTCAAAAGGTATACAGGTTTTTAGAAAACATGTAAAAATGTTATAATATTTACAAAGTGGCACTTGTTTATGTAAAGTTTTAAACCATGATGCAAGATTGTCTGTTCGATAAATAAATATTGTTACATTTTGAATATTTAAAATTTAAGGAGCTACAGTGGAACCTCTGATGAGCGACCCTCTATAGAGCCGTTATTTCTTTAACACATCAATAATAGAATATTCCATAATATTTCAACCTCTTTTTAGCATCACCTGTCAGCAACAACCGAAAAAACATGTCATATAATTGGTGCCAATGCTGTATTTGTTTGTGTGAGAAACTCATTGTTAGACTAAACAAATTTCCGTCCACTCATTTAAGGTTTAACATCGTCAGTGCGTATGTTGGCTGGATGATTTATCTTGTGAGTCTAGTGTATGAAGACCACAGTGGGTTGTCTACATCTGGACAGGGGCCACAACTCTCGAGGAGATATAAGGGGCTCATAATTGGATTTTTCAGTGCTATAAGCGTCATAAGTTTCTTAGTTTTATACAGTAAGTAATTTAATGATTTTCTATGCATTTCATGAAAATTAATGATGAGAAATATTGAATTGAAGAAAGGAAACTTAAAATTTTATTTTGCTTATTTTGATTAAGTTATGGAGTATTTTACTTTAAAGTAATTGTTTGACATTCATCTAAGATAAAAAAAAAACACTGAGTACTGTTTCGATATCGAAAGTTTGAAATACTTTTGTATTAAAATTTATATATAAACAATTTTATTTCGGAACTTTATACCGAAACTAAGCTATTTTTTATATTCAATACCGCTTTCAATTAAGCATGTGATAAATATTAAAAGTTTGAAAAAAAACACACAAAAAAAAACAAAAAACATTTTTGTAAAAATTATGTAAAAGGAAAGTACAGGAGTTTTGAAAACTGCACATTGTTCTAATTTAAGACTTTATTATTTGAATATTCTGCAAAAATAAAAACTTTTAATTTGTTTTTCTTTCAGTACAATCCACAACTTGGACTCATTATTTCTTCGTTTTGTTACCGTGTCCTATATGGATGGCTGTATTTTTAAGGTGAGTGATTAATAAATTCATATTTAGCTAATATATAACAGTGCATTTGATTGGCTGTATGTCAGGTGACACATTTATTCATTTTTAACAAAATATCTGATTGGTTGATTCCGTATAAAACTACCACCAATGACGTTAATGTTTACAAAGAAAAGTCTTTAAAATTTCAATAATTATTTGAATGCAAAAGTTACAAGTCATATTTTGAAGACAAACATCTGGATTTTAACAAGAATATTGTTTTTATTTCAGATTTGATATATTAAAGCAGATAACAAGTGTATTATCCACTGTTAAAACATTATTTCCTGATCTTTTGCTGACATTTGTTTGCCTAGAAATTATAGTAAGTGTATAATACTCACAATATTCATTAAAACTATCTTATTGTTAAAATGTGAATATGGTGGGACCTGTGAGTGATTTAGGTCTTATACCTCAGCACATGGAGTTTGTTCATGTTGGGGCGTCATTCTGCTTGCCTACGAAAGGTCAATGATTCTACTCGGGTGTCCGCTTGTCCTGAAATAATGCACAGATTGGGCACCTGGCGTTTTCCTTGTCAAAATGAAGCTGAAAAGTCTCACATGAACTTAACAGTGCCGATGTGACTTAAAATTTAGCAAAAAAAAAAAAAAAAAAAAAAAAAAAAAAAAAAACACTAAAACGTTTAAATTATATCCTGCTTAAATTGTGTACTGGGCCTGTTCTACTATCATAAGATTTTTGATCTGATTGACCAGTCAACGATGTTGGTGGCGTATACGTTAGTCTGCAATAAAGGTATGTAGCATAGGCCTGTATCAAATATGCAAAGACGGTGACATAGACCTGTGGCAAAGGTTTGGGGCATAGGTCTGTAGCAAAATGTTGCAGTATATCTTGTGGCATAGATCTGTGGCATGGGCTTGTGTCATATGCCGGTAGCAAAGGCCTGTGGCAAAGATCTGTCGTTATACGGCTTGTACTCAGGTATGAACGATTGAATTTTAAAATTCATTTACCTTAATTACACAACAAAAGACAACTGTTCTTCTATGTGTACACCACCCAAACGCACATGACTTCTTTTCATATTTAACTTGTTTTAATTTCAGCTGATGGGCTTTTATTATCGAGAGGCAATATCATTTGGACTTGTACTTTTTGCTGCGTGGCCCTGGGTGTTTAAAAAAGATGAAATTGAAAGAGTAAGTAGTCTGCTATACAGTGTGGTATTTATTAATATACAAAATAATGATTTCATTTTGCTTCATCTGATCTTTGTATTAGACTTTATGTATTCCCATTTCATTTGATAGCGAAAAAACATGTTTGAAGTTGTGGTATCAATATTTTTTTACTGAAAGTATTATATATTTATTACTCTGTGCTAAATACAACATCATTGATAGATGTTTTTCAACGGGCGGCAACATTTCATATAATTATGTCACATCCTCAGAAATGAATACATATATGCTTCTACAGAAGAAACAAACATATGTTTTAGAATGTTGTAATAATGAATTAAGAGGATACTTAATACTTGGACAGGGTAGCACTGAAAGTGAAATATTATTTCATAAAAGTAGCTAAATATAAACAAGGTGGTATTTTGACTACACAATAATAGTTCACTGTACTAATTGCCTGATTATATGTCAGCTATGTGTATACATAATGGAGTATCAACAAAATATTAACTTGCATATGTCACATATTCGTATTTATAATTTTCTATCAAATACGTTGTTGTTGTTTTTGTCTTGCATATTAATGGAAATCAGTATGATGGCCACCCATGGGAACATAATTGTTTTATCGTAAAGCCGATGTTTTGATCGGTTTATATTGAATGCTTTGATACGTTTGATGTTGAACAGCAAATATAGAGAGAAAGTAAACATCAGTTGTCATGTGATACTGTCTATCAGATGGAATATGCATTAATTTGGGGACACATAAATGCAAAAATATCTAAATTGTCTCTGTGGAAAATAATAGAATACAAAAATCTAGACAACATCACTTTTACCATTAGATTGTTTTTCCGTATAAAATTGTAGAATATGATTGTGTTTTGCACAAATGCCTGAGTATCAAGTTTTATTTCTAGTTTTAAGTTCAAGGAATAGGCTTTTATCTGTTATTTGCTCATAGTCCAAATGATTTTTTTTCTTTATTCTCTAACCGAAATTTCTTCGAATGTTTGACCCTTTTGTATTGAAGTATCCCCCCATGGGAATGTTCACAGAGTAGTTTAACATTATACCAATAAAACACTTCTTTTAATGAGGACCAATGAAAGTATGTTTATTTATAGTCGACCAATGACTAAAAGGTCTTTATACAAAAGACCAATTGAAATGATTTTATTTATAGAAACCAATTTGAATAAGTTTATATATAGATTGCACAATTTAAATTTCTGTATATTTTTTCAGCGTATTCTTATACATTGGTCTGTATCATGCCTCACTGTTGCCTTCTTCCCAGCTATTCCTACAGGGACCAGAGAGCTTAATTTTAATTTAGTGTGAGTATATTGATTTTTTGTTATTAAAATGTCAAAAAGAGTTGTTTAAACACATTAAAACAGTTTTTTTAAAAGATAGTAAGTAAAAAATACTACATTATTCTAAAGGAGGTAACTCTTTAAATTGAATGAATTGAATAGGTAGTTAATGTTTTATTTTGTTTGGGTGGGTGGGGGTGTTTTTAACGGTAATGTAATTATTATCAGCATACTCTGTGTCTTGTGAAAACGGTTTAAAAATAGCGATCGTTTTTTCAGTTATCTTCATATGTGTGTACTCATTTTATACAGAAATATAAAAAAGGAATATACTGTGTCTATACTTACAATGATGTATTTTTATTTCAGTGTTTTAGGTGGCTTAGTCGCCATTGCAATCGCTTGCTTTATTGTAAAGACGTAAGTATTAGCTTTGATACTTATATAATTGTTTTGGTTATTAAAATTTGAACTTTTTTATAACGTCAATTCAAGATTATTGTGGTTGTTCATATGACATGAAATTGCGATGTAACTCTATTTATAATTTGAATATCTTCAAATATTCGATGTATTCATTCAAAAGATGGAAACAAAACTTACAGCTTCATGTATTTGTAACTGTCAACAAGAATATTCTATCATTAATAACATTTTTTTGTTTCTTTTCAGATTTGCCACAAGACAATTAGCAAAACGGAAACTGTTTCTCATATTTGGTTTCCAGGTAAGCGACGCAGCGTTTCAGTTAATTGTCATTTCTGAGTAATATGGAATAATTTTACATACATTGAAGCAGATGCAATGTTCGTGTTAAATTGCAGATATATATCGGCTCTCAGGGGATACATTGCACTAATATTTTATTCCTAGATTATTTTTCTATATCATTTTGATGTAAAGTGTTTCTGAAATATATTCTGATTTGATCTTGCTTAATGCAAATAAAGAGATTGTGTTTTATTTAGATTATTATATTTTGTAATGGAAATTAATGATTTTTAAAAGTTGTAGTATAGGGTTAAACAGGTACAGTACAAAAAGTAATGGGCGATTTCTATGTCATGAAAAAAGGTGTTATTGCCAAGTATGGTTTACATAATCGCTTAATATATATTATTAAGTATTATTATTGAATTGAATTGAATAATAGCTTAGCATAGAGAAAGAACTAACCTTTGTTAACTTGATATAATTCTTTCTTTATCATTTTTGCATTATATGCAGAGTCAAATGAAGATTTCCGAAAAAGTAACCATAGCAAGGGAAGGAATGACGGGTTTTATTTCTTTTAATGTTATTCAGACATTGCAAATTTGTTTGTTTATTTTCAGATATTTATTTTAGCAGTTTCTATATTTATTATGAGACATACAGCAGAAATGGCAGCTACAAATAGAAGAACACCATTAATAAGCCAAACTCTTAGTTGGTTATTTTTAGGTTCGTACCAAGTATTATCGCACCATTTTGTACCGTAACATTTATTTTCGATTTATACATAAAATGGCATAAAGCAGGTTTTGTGCTTCCCTCCGGATAAGAAAATGCAGGACTCCTGTTCCAAATGAACAAACAAGCAATTGCATAAATGACTCAGTTTGAAAGATAGCCTATTAACTGAGGAATATTATTTCTGATGTCCGGCGATGGCTTTTGTATACATGTAAAAATCTTATTGTAAAGAAATGTAAACAGGTGTTGTATTAATTATCAAATATACTAATTAAATTTATTTATTAAAAGTAAAAAATGTATATATATACGAAAAATATGTCAAAAGTAAACTATTAATAATGCATGTTCCTGTATTTTTCAGGTTTAGGAATAATTGAACCATTTTTGGTAACCACAGACATCAGATGTCGGCTTTTCTCTATAGCTCTAGCGTGGATGTCACCTTTTATACTTTTTAGTATTTCATATCCTTTTTTTGTGTTGATCCGGAAGTGATGTCACCGGAAATGATGTCATTGACATTAATTAAGATAAGATAAGATAATTGTTTATTATAGTGACATATGCAATGAACATTTACACAGTACAATACATTTTAACAAAAAGTTATGCACCCGGCCCAATGGACCTATTAGTCACCTTTTATAATAAATAGCATTATATGACAGATAACGCGAGGGAAATTGTTATGGTAAATCAACACCGAATTATAAATATGAAAGTATGCACATACTAGTATAACAAAAAGTATTTAAGTGAGACATCATTTTTGTTGAAATGCAAAACCTAAATTATTTTCATAATTTAAGAGTAAAGTATACTTCGTCTAAACAAGTAAGCTTTCATTATATATTTGGCTGTCTTTCTTATGTGATCAGCCATCAACACACGTACTTTTTCAGAAATGGTTAATTATGTACAAGCATAATTAAAACCATAACATTTGATTACAATATAAACTTAACAACAGCAGGTTTCAAGTGCCATACGGCAGCTATAAAACAGTGCCTCGTACTTCACTTCAGTGTTGTTATATTTTTCTGGTCCTTCTGATAAATGACCTATTTAATTGCTTTTTTTCAATTTATTTATTAAACAGTTCCCTTTGATAAAATGTGTTCCATTTATATACCATTTGAAATGGTTTCAATTAATGATTATTACCGTATCATTAAGAAATAATCAAAAGACAGGTTTATATAACATTAAATAATGGCATCATAATTATCTCAATTCATTCTTCTTTTAAAGAAAAGCAGACGACGGCTTGTTTCGCTATCATTTGTGTGTCAGTTAGAATATACAGCCATATATCAGATACTGTATTCTCATCAAAAACTTTATTTCCCCTGACATACGATATTTCGCCCACGTTTGATAACTTGATAAAAATGACCTTAGATTTTTATGACATGAAATGATTCTTGGAAATACTAGATGAATGAACAACATAAAAACACAATATCATTTCCAGATGATACAAGTTTTCTATATATATATTGTTAGATTAGTAAATTATTGGAGTGCAGGTGTACCAAAATCTGTAACAGTTATTCGTAGATTCATTAGATTCACACAAGCGGCACCGGTTTTATATGCAAATAACTATATACTAAATCGGGACATATAACCTGTCAAAATCTTATATAAGTAATAATATTTAGTCCCTCTATTAATGCAAAATATTTACATCCATAAAAACACAGTAAGTAAGTTAGTCACGTGAACTTTGCAACGACAGGAAATTGCACAACTGGTCCATGTACACAATGTTTTGTATTATTGCTTTAACCCTTTTTCTTACATTAGGAAAAACGCAAATATTCTCAATACGGTATATATGCTAACTTGTGTACGCAAAATGGTAAGATAAACTATAGCTTGTTATGAGAAGTAACTAATTTATCACAATTATTGACCTTAACTAATGTTACATATGAATGTTTATTCATGGTTGTTATTTGCTGGCATTTATACATATGGATGCTGATAGAAGCTAGCCTAGTCAATGATTACAAAGAACTACCAACAAAAATTATAGAGAATGGTAACATACCGAATGGCAAAGCAAGCCCCGAACATTCCACGAAATTCGTAAGTTTCAAGGTATTTTTTTACAGTTTTATTTTAGATTGATTTTGTAAGGAGCTGTAAGCTTATAGACACACGTTCTGTAAGTGTGAAGTTACTTACTCAAGGAACCAATGTCTTACCCCTGACGATGTTACATGTATCAATGTGTCTGTAGTTGAAATCCTATTCTTTTGATGTCTTGAAAATGAATATCTATTCTTTAGGCATGCATTTAGCTTGTCTTTCATCTTTATTGAAGGGGCTTTTAAAAAAATTAAAATAAAAACGTAATCTTGTATACCTGAAGAAATATTATGCAGTTATTATCAAAAAATTATTGATTGTTTCTCTGAGAAATTGAACGTTTCAAAAGGGATTTATTTCATTTAATTTTTTACTTTTCTTTTTTACAGCTGGAAAGTTTAGATTTTGCAACTATCTCAAATCAAATTGCCAATGGTAAAAGCCGGCAGGGTCTAGTGCGAGCTGATCTGCGCAGAATATCATACTTCGTATCCTTTTTATTGATCTTAATTCCCGATCGTTTTACGTTTAGTCCACATGGAACACCCATGTGCAAAAAACGCCTTGTAGTGAGATATTGGTGTCAATAATGAAAAATATGTTTGAAATTGGTGGGGGGGGGGGTAAAGGCCACTTTCTGTTATTGATGTTATTAGTTTGACAGCTATTTTATTGCTCTAGAAAAATATTATACGAACTCATCCAGCTCTTATAATAAAATATTGGGGCCTTGCAGTCGTTTTCGTTTATAATAAAACTAGAAAATTACTCCAGAATATTTTCCCAATCATTAAAAAAAAATGACTGCTTGAAATGAAGTTAATTCGATAAAGAAATGTTATACAAGGTAATTTGTTTGGATAAGGCTTGTTTTGAAAATCATTGGAAAATCCTTTCACCAATTTGTAACCAGATAGATTTGCTTTCAAGAGTATATTACTTCATATTGGAGTATTTTGTAATGACATATTCCGACATTTATTCCTTGACTCCTCTTTAGCTGCTCCTGTTGACTGCAGGTTTATTTGGAACAGGAAATCTTGCAAGCGTTAATAGGTGAGATATTTTGTATTTCAAATCTTTTATGAAAATTATTATTCAAATTGGAAAACAACAAAATTTAACTGACTCAATATGTTAATGTTTGAAAATATTCTAAAATTTTAAAGCAAAGCCTTCCACATACGGACAACCTAGCGTCTGACATCTTGATTGCTGCATCCACGTGATCAAAGTTTTTGTCTCACATGACGTGACGTCATGCACACCCGTATATCGGAATAATTATACTGGTTGAACAAAGCCAAAACGGTCCTTTTCGTGTACAATTAGGACAGATTTTTCTTGATTTAAGGACAAATAATGAAGCTTTATCCATTTTACATTAAATTCTGAATTAATAATTGGCATTAAAAAAATGCATGTGTAAATGCAATGTATATATGTATTGTAAGTTATGTCTATGGAATAAATACATGCATATATAACCAAATCTGTCTCCTTTATAAGGAAATCTCTGAGTAGTTTTTCAGGAAATATTTTCTTCTTGTAAAACAATGCATGACACAAGCCTTAACAAAACATCGCTCTGCTACTTCATCTGACATCTGTCCTGCCCACATTTGAAATGTTTATTTCCAAATCTCAATTTAAGAATATAGGTATACAATTGAAATACTTCTCTCTGTTGGTTTGAATGAATTTCGGATGGATATGCCAAAGTTTATTTTAAATAATATGCCATAGTTTATGCGAAAAAATATCATTAAAAATATTGTAAAATCAAAGTTTAGGATTGCACCATTGCGTAAATCCGGATATAGACGACCCGCTTTATAGTGTTTTATTGCTTTTGGTAGTGTATTGCCTTAACTGCTTAAACCGGTGCTGGGGGCAATGACTTATCATTTCCGTCGATGAACAGGTTCAAATCAAACGGATCACGCAACATTTTGTCGTTTTAAGCGTTCTGTCTTTCTTTTATATATGTATTGTTATTTTTTGAGTTATATAACGAGGAGTGTTTACGTGTATTTTTCTTTAAATGCATGACTTGTTCTTTTATAGAGAGATAGCTACTTCTGTTTGTAGATATTTCCGACCTAAATTTGGCGTTTTTGGTCTTTTTCAGTTTTAACCCAGCCAGCGTATATTGTTTTGTAACCGTTGAAAATCCCCCTTTTATGGGGACTCTGATCATTCTGAAGGTAGTTCTGTAAATAGAAAGAACTCCACTTTTCTACTTATGCTTCTAAAGTTTAGTTTAAATTTCACATACATTTTAATGAACGTATCGAAGTCAATTTATTGTTGCGATATTATTTTATACCTTTTAAATAAAGAACAATCACCATTCATATGATTAAAGTATAACTAATGTAATTCCATACTTTGCTCATCAGTCTATGAATAAATTGTGTGGACATTTTAACATATTAGTATGCATACACATACACATGTGTTAGTTTTCGCAGCAAACTAATGTGTACCCATTAAATTACATCTTGCTAAATTTTAAATTTATTCATATCAATGGTGACGTCATAGAGATTTCGTGACATTGAAATCAATTAGCTCATATCTTTAATAATTTTGGCCTAATGTGAAATGACATTGTGGTTTTTAGGGGTAAAAAAAGAAATAATTATATACAAATTGTTGACCTCGGTACGTCCTGTTGTAGAATTTGTATGCTTCTATTACTTAGAGTATTATTTTCTGGGGCCCGTTCGTGCCTGAAATAATGCACGGAGGGGCATCTGAGGTCTTCCTCCACCAGTAAAGCTTGGACCTATACTGTGTCGTTGTGACGTTAAACCCAATTAAACAAACAAACAATAATTATTTTCTGGGTTTTTTCGTGGCATATAAAGACTCGTCTAGGCATACTACTGTATCTTTATTTTGTTTGTTCTCTATAAACGCTTTATATAAGTATATGAAATTCAAACCAAAATTCAATATAACTGTCATTTCTAAATATAATATACATATATTTGTACTTTAATAACGCATTTAACCGGTATTGTTTTTTTTAATTTTTATTCCAAGAAATTTCAAAGTGATAAATTAGCTGTTATATTACTGAAAAGTCTTATCATCCGAAACAATTCAGTCTCTATGTGACAAGACTAACATTTATATATATAAATATATATTTATTCATATCATTAGAGTATACTGTATATTAACCCTTTTTAACACTTAACATGCTCAATTATCTTAAATTTACATGTCCATCTTTCAATCTGGCCAAAAGCATTCATAATTTTTAAGTAAAATTTTAAAACATGCACTGACTGAATAGTGCTCAGTGGAGACCGCAGTCCGACGGCACTCAGGTCGTATAGGTAGATTCAGGTGCCACAAGCCGGGTAAAGTGCTTACTTCTTTATAACACTATGATTTGTATATAAAAATATATTATTTCATTATGAGGCCATTACATTATGATCTTAAAACAAACACATAATCTAGCCCCCTTGTTTGTAAAGCTAGATTATTTTAAAGATAGGATCTTATGAATATATCTAGATATTTGCTGATCTATATTTTATTAGTATAAATAGATTGTATTTAAATAAATTTAGATAGTAATCCGTGTAATTAGGAGGATCGTATAGTTTGGAGACAGATGAAAAGCAAATAAACAAACTTTCATAGTGTCGTCGAATGTTATACATGTATCCGGTAAACCTGTGTATTTTAGCCACTAACATTGCTTGCTTGTAGGGAACTACATAGGGAGTGGCATGTAGATTTGCCAATTCCGTCTGTTCCTCTGTTCATCCCTAGACAGACAAAACGGTGGGATGTGGGGACACCAGTGTCTTATGGACACATTTTTAGTTTTGTTTGATTTTCAGCTATATTTCTTAGACTGAAGAAAGGATTCAAGATTGTTGTTATTTCAAAACATATATAAGTAGCTCGCTCTTAGAATTAGTTCAGTTTGTTCTTTCTTTCACTGCACTTTAAACAATTTTCTATTGGTAGAATACTAACGCATTTGTATCATATTGTTTTCAGTTTTGATCCGGCTGCAGTTTTCTGTTTCTTAACAATTTCAAATCCCCCATTTATGGGATTATTGATTGTTTTAAAGGTAAGCAATTAGGTAATTTTTTTACAATACCCGAACCTTTATAGCTTGATATATAGTAGATATATAAATAATGATATTATAATTTATTAGGATTGAAACTTTTTATAGAAAACATTTATTAGTTATAATTTACTAATTGTAAGCCATTTAACTTGTTCTACTATCTTTAAACAGATTTCAGTTCAAATAACAAATTCCTCGTATCCCACAAATTATTATTATGCGTGAATCATGTGCATTTTTCTTCATATTATATATCTAACATGTTTAATAACATTAAAAAATTAACCTTTGGTTGTTACTCTTCCCCAAATTATGTAGAAGTTAAATACATATGTAATTTCATTTGCGTTAAATCTATGGTGATATTTTATTTAATTTTATTATGAAATTAAATGAACATTTATCCCTTAATAACGTTTTAATTTTTACTAAAGCTTGAATTACACTTAACTAAGTTTCGACTCTTTGTTTATTTTATGTTTGAATTTCAATTACAAAAACATTTTCATTTCATATGAATTCGTGTTTGTATTTTTTTTTCATAAACAAGTCTGTTAAGGCAATTATTCGTGTGCACATTTCATGTTGTAAAAAAGAATATTTCTTAGCCATTATTGTACATACCAAGCAATGTTTATTAAGACATATTTGAGCCGCTCCATGACAAAACCAACATAATTGGTTTGCGACCAGCATGGATCCAGACCAACCTGCGCAACCGTGCAGTCTGATCAGGATCCATGCTGTTCGCTATCAGTTTCTCTACTTGTTATAGAGTATGTAAGCGAACAGCATGGATCCTGATCAGACTGCGCGGATGCGCAGGCTGGTCTGGATCCATGCTGGTCGCAAACCCATTATGTTGGTTTTGTCGTGACGCGGCTCATTTCTTATTGACAGTCTCAAAAACGAATGGATCATTACCTATTATAAAACCATTCTGTTGTACATTTTCTTATTTATAGTGTCAAACATATTCCAAACTTTTCCAGACGAAAATAACTGTCATTGATTTCAAACGCATTGTTTAAGGATGATAAAAGAATAAATGTATGATTGTAAACTATGACCTCCACCTTCTGTTACCATTTGATTGCTGTACAATGTTATATTAAATATTTGTTGTTTTTTTTCCAGATTATAATTCCATTTATTCCTATCACATGCACAATGAGAGCAATAAATTTGATGACACATGTACCACTAAAGTCATTTACGTTGGTCGCCATTTTATTGCAAAATATTATAGACTTTGTGAGTATTTCCTTTTTGTCTTTTTAATACTTTTAAGTTTATTGCACTGAATGCGTTTGTAAAAGATAAAACATATTAAGTACACTTTTTCACCAGCAATTTATTGACCTTGTCCTTTCTTAACTTCAGTATTGTCCAATATTAGATTCAGGAATTTAAAAGTTCAGAACATTAAATAAAAGCAGACGATAATTTTAAGCAAAGTCAAGTTGCAAAGCAGTACACGCTGAACTGGCTTAATGCAATGACTTTGGTTTATACAGAATTGATTTTAAGTTCGATTGTGCAGAATGTTTAAAGCTTATAGATACACTCAGGAATCCGTTCCCATTGAGCAATCGGTGTAAAGTTTCTTGCTCAAGAAAACAGCAGCAGCTCGCCCCTCACACGTTTTGAACTCACACAGCGATCCTTAGACTACTGGTCCGACGCGATAACCACTGGGCCATACCGCCATAGATGACTTTGTTATATAACTGTTCTGAATACCGCTTTTAAATTGCCTACAAATTTTAATTCTGTATTGTTTTATTTTGACATTGTAGCAATTCTTCTTACTGGTGGATGATGGGGGATCAGCTACACATGTTGGAGAGACAGTTTCCCACTACGTCATCTTCTCAATAATGCACATGGTCACCATGCTGCTTTTTGGATTTTCCTATTTGCTCACCACGTGCAACGTTTGCTGCTTTAAAGATACCTCGAAACACTGACGGACGGACGGATGTTATAGAAACATTAACTCGGTTTTGTTACAACCTGGAAAAAGAAAGGATGTGTTCTAGACTGATTTATCAGCAGGAATATTTGATGGAGTTTAAATTGTTTCATGTTAAGTGTTTTTAGAAGTTATAAAACCTGAAGGATACTGGTGACTCTGCACCAGGTTTGTATCAGTACAACTTACATATTAACTTGAAGATTTTCTTGATGCACGAACGATAAATGATAAAATAATGGCCTTGATGTTTTTTTTTATCATATGCAGAAAAATGGTATTTTTGTATCATATACAGAGTTTATTGTACGAGAAAATGTGTTCTTTACTTATACTGCTATTCTAAACTTAAATGGAGAGTTCAAGATCATTTAAACATAATGTAAGAAAGCCAGCTATGATTAATATAGACTAAGTGTATGTATCTTTGACCGATGTATTTCAATTTGTATCTCACGTGAAGTGTTTTTGTATATATATAAATATGTGAGATGGGGTTGGCTTAAGGAGGAGATAATGTAAACTTTTCATTTTATGTGCTGTGTCACAATCAATGTTTAGGATTAATCACACAATTTATCATGTTTAATAAGTGCTTCTTAATCAGATAAGGTCGCTTTCACAACTGCCTTACATAGATTGAATACTTTTGTAAAATGATATAAAAGTTTAATAGAGATATTGGCCTTAACATGTTTTAAGTTTTTATTTATATTTAAATGATTGCATAATATCTATCTACATATTTATATCTTTCAACATTTGTTTCTCATTAACCATAAGCCTACTGGATCAGAAAGTTTAGAACCGGACAAGCCTGCACATGTGCGCAGTCCGACCAGACTCTATACTGCTGGTAGCTCGATTTTTTGCGTTTTGATAATGACCTCCTCTAACATTGAAATGGACTGTTCCAAATTTAAATCAAATTCAGAAGGTTAAAGGTTAATGAAAATAAGTCCACTGTGGCGTCATTTTATAATTTAGTTTCGGGATTACTTTGCCTTTCTTCGCCTGCTGTTTATTTTAACACATGTGATGTCATAATTTTAACACATATGATGTCATAATTTCACTGACACTCCTTTCTGTACTAGAAATAGAAAATTATCTTTGTCACGGAAGAGATGCTTTTATAACGCATGCAAAGATTAAAATAAGTTCTAATTTATAATATAACAACTTTATAATATATGAAAACAGCGAAATAACATATTTGAACAGTAATTTTATATATGTGAGCAGTGAATTGATATATGTGAACAGTAAATTTATATATGTGTACAGTAAATTGATAAAGGATAACTCTAAATTGATAAATGATAGCTGTAAATTGAAGCAGTGAATAGGTACATAAGAACAGTGAATTAGTTTATATTTATAACGTTTGTGATAATAGATAAACGGGTAGAAAATAATTCAGGCAATCTAAGCAGTATCTACACAGATGCTCATACTTGTTTTTAATTGTTGATTTATCAAAAACAAAAACAAAATACAATGCAAACACATTTTCATAAATTATTTATAGTTTTCGTTATGTAAATCTTTGTTATTTCTGTGTTCCCTCTATTTGTTCCGAACATAAAAAATATTGTTTTGACTTGAAGTTAAAACTAATATATCATGTGTCTGAAGTTTATAAAATTATTGTTTGAATTTTACAAATGAATACTTTCCAAAATACCAGTGTGAAATAATTATCTTTGTGTATTTCATTTAGAGCGAATGGCATGTGCACGAAATTATTGGTAATCAGTTAAAATGCTACTTAAAGTAACAGCATAGTGTTGTATTCCGGAACATTTTATTATGTTAACATATTATGTATTTGTTTGTGTTAAATAACAGAGACATTTCATGGAGAATCGGCCTTAATATCACAAAAGCAACATAAATTTACCTTTTATAGATTTTATAAATAAATATTTCATTACACAAGGCTTTGAACCATTTATGTCAGATAAAGTCATTTTTATGTACGAGTATATTAAATAGATGATATTGTAATATTTTGAAAATTGTTTATAGCATGATCATTTTTTATAATAAAAGAAAAAATAATTTTTCTATCACATGTAGTACATGTCTATGAGATGCAAATATAGTGAAGTAAATTTTCTTATTTCTTAATAGAGAAATTAATCGTCCACTTCAGGGAAAATTACATTCCTTGCTTTTATTCTTCATACATTCAAACATTCCAAATCATGTATAGATTTATTTTTATCATATTTTTCTTTTACCTAAAGTTTCAAGTTTTACTTTTCTGATGTGTTTTTTTGTGTGTTCAACATCACTAGTGCACTTAATTGTGTGTGTTTTTATTTTTATTTAATGTATATATCTTCCATAAGAAATTCTTTATAGCGATTTAATTTTGCTTGTCAGTTGATTGACACGGGATTTTGGTAAATATTATTGAAGAGTTGATGGCTTTTGGTAAATATCATATCCATGTTGATGGCTTTTGGCTTTACACAGTTGCCATATAAAACGATTTGAAATAATACCTACATCTTCTTTTTGTTCATTCACGCATATTACACAAATAAATGAAATAAACTTTGATCACTGCTGCCTTAAGTCTATGTCTAAACATACTGAACTTGTATTAATACGTGTATTTATTGTAAACATAAAGGTATTTATAAGTACCTGTATTTATTGTAAACAATGAATATAAGTATTTTACTTGTATCTATGCATGTCGTTATTGTAAACATAAACAATATAGATATTTTACAGGTACCTTTATTTATTGTTGACAATGAATATATAAGTATCTACATGTATTTGTCTTTATTGTAAACATACTGAATATAAGTATTTTATATATAAATATATATAAACGGTTCTAATTTATATGTAGAATTTTTACGTTTGATGTTTACATCGTTTTGAGGTTAGGTAAGTTTTTGTGTCATAAAGAAATGCTTAAAGCATCTGAATGGCAAATCTTACTGTATCAAACTATATTGCATGAAATATTTGTAAACTTCTGTGCTAACATACAAATAAGGAAATTATTTTGAAATATCAAATTGTTGAAGAGACATTATATTGTTAATCTTCAAAGGAAAATATCAGCCCATGTTTTAATAAGAAATTATACTTTGTAAAATGTGTAAAGAATTTTGTTGTTGGCAGATATTGTTAATTATATTTATGAATGTTGATATGTTTAATGAATGTAAACAGAAAAAACTTCCCTTATAAATGATGTGTGAATGCTTATACATTTAATTATAATGTTGATGAGTGTAACTGTTTTTTTATATTGCCATTTTGGGTAATTTAAGTTAATATGTGTACATGGTTAAGTACTTAAAAAGTACTTTATCCAGTAGACTATGTTTGCTATTTTAGTCAGAAAATCAATGGTGCTGTCACTGTATTTAAATGAGTACGAATATTTCTTTAATAGTTAGTATAGATATAATATGAGCCGCGTCACGACAAAACCAACATAGTGCGTTTGCGACCAGCATGGATCCAGACTAGCCTACGTATCCTCGCAGTCTGATCAGAATCAATGCTGTTCGCTTACCAACTATTACAAGTAGATTAACTGATAGCGAACAGCATGGATCCTGATCAGACTGCGCGGATGCGCAGGCTGATCTGGATCCATGCTGGTCGCAAACCCACTATGTTGGTTTTGTCGTGACACGGCTCATATATAGTTTGTAGTTAGTAGGAGAATGTATAGTTTCAAGTCAACACACAAATATTGTGTTCCTCTCATATAGATTTTAATGTCGCACAGTGAAATGCAAGGTTTAAGTCGAATATGATTCTGAGTTATGAATGTCCCTCCTAAATAACAAGTAATTCATATTTATGTAATGCTTATTATAAAACAAGTTATCATATAAGATATTTAATACGCCTTTATTCTAACTGTCTTACTATTCATGGTAAAGGGATTACATCTGTTTTTTATATTTTAATTGCTATTGTTAAACATATGCTGTGAAATCCATTATTATACTTATTTTAGTGAAAATATGTTTTCTGTTTAGTTAAATTCCTGGATTTACTATTGTGTGCATGGCCTATTATTTATAACTTTAAGAATGTTTAACTTAACGAACTTTCTGTTTCTTTAAGTCTTGAATACATGGTATATATAGCTGATGTATAGTCTCTCAGGGCAAATATGATTTTTATATTCTTGTATGTTGTTTTTGGTTTCTTCATATAGTCATGTAATCATTTGATCAATGTAAGAACAATGCGAAAAAATGCAACAAAAATGCAAGAATAAACGTGGTGTATGTCAATGCAAGATACTTAGGATATTTCCTTAAATGCTAGAAAACATTCGGAATATTTTGTTTTGTTTTGTTTTTAATGAATTAAGAAATTCAAGTCTTCACATATTTGTAAAGGGCCAGGGGTATTATTTCAAGAGTGTTTATTTTTGAAATATAATTTACAATACATTTTCTCAATAAATGAATTATATCAACTATATTTCACCGGTAAATTCATATGCTTCTGTTAACCAGTTATACGTAGATAAAAAAGCATTTCTAAGTAGCATATTTTAAACAATATATTTCATTTCCAAGTGGGTACTGTATGTATATTTCCAAGAATGTTATAAGAATGATATAAACTGTTTTTCACCGTTAAGTTTAACCAGTTAATACTTTAAATCTCAAAACCATAATCTTGATTGTGATAGAATTCGTCGATGGAGTGTAACTGACAAATGACAATACCTCTTGATTGTTAAAAATTTGATCTTTTTTTCTCTTTTTTTTTTTGTTAATTTCCTTATTACACATAATCATTTTATACATGTATAATGTTCCTTTTAAAAATTAGTCGTAAAAAAGGTCAATTAAATGGATACTGATATTGTAAAAGTGTGTTGTTAAACATTTTGATAAGGAATAAACAAGTTTTCAAGTTTAGGTATTGAGTAAAGTTTACACCATGCAATTTGCGACTGTCTGATTTTTATGTTTATTCTGTAATCTGTAAATATTGATTAAAACGTTTTTGTTTTATTATTTATTTATTATCATCATAATCATTATTATCATTTATATCATCTAATTGTAGTGTATATTAACCCTTACCACCCGAAATATCGAAAATAGAATCGTCCATCCTCAAATCTGGCCAAAAACCATTCTTAATGTTAAGAAAAAATTACAAAATATGTACTGACAGAATAGCTAATAGGGCAGACCATGGCCAGACGGCATGGTACCAGATCCTCACTCAGATTATGTTTTTGGCGTTTATGGGTACCAGTACAGGCCACCTCATTGTCTGACCGAGTTTAGTTCCAGAGGAACGGCACTGGTAACTCCGCTAATATAATTTTGTTAATGTTTAGTGAAACCATGTAAGGGCCTATTTTAATGTGTTGTTATGTTAGACATATTGGTTATCTGTATCAAAAATATTCATATTTTAATGTCATTATACATGTTAAACATTTTATGAACAAATATATGAAATAGTCATATTAAAGTTTGTATGCAATTTATCAACATTCTATAGACCATTTAAATTGTTCAAAAACATTGTTTGCTTTGCATTTTAATAAACGTTTTGCCTTAAAAAAATCGTTTGTTTATTTTTGTAGACAATGTGCATGATGTTTTCGTATTTCTTTCCTAACTTTCATTAACCCATTACTTCATGAGCATTTTGTGAAAAATGGCTGTTTTCATTGAAAAGTCTCCCGTTACAAGTTCAAATTGCTATAATACTATAACAACTGCTTCAACACTAATCAAACTTGGCACATATGTTGACTGGACCATTGCCCTTGCAAAAACATGGTCAGGCTTAAATTTTCTGTTACCATGGCAACGGGGGGGGACATCTCAAAATTGCCAAAAATCACTATTTTGCGTTGATTTTTTCCATCAAAATTGATTTCAAAGTGCTGCAACTTCTCAATGGATTGAGATAGAGTCAAATGCTTTTCAGCGTTGGTTACACGTTACCTTATGATCAATCTGGGGACATTTACAGCCTCTCACAAGTCCAAAATTTTCTTGGCGATGAGGGGGACTCCGCCCCCCTTCAAACCCCCCCAAACAGAAGGGGGCACATCCCCCTTCTGGCAACCCCCTGATGTATCTTTTGGTTGGGGGCCGCGCCGAAAAAGAGGTCACTTTTTTTAACAACATTTCTCAAACAATAGCAAGTGTTTGGGGCCTAAATAAGGCATTTTTTCATCATTTGAGACAACAAAAAAGGGGGGGGGGGGAAAAAGGCGTTAAAAGGCGTGTATATGAAGTAATGGGTTAAAGAAAATTTAATTTTCGCATAGAACGTCTGAGCAATATTACATATATGTGAAAATTACAATTTCTTAGGTATTCCCTTAAGTCGGGCTTTTATTTCACTGTTCTTGTCATGCAGTAAAAAGCGAGTAGCTTTTCTTGATCACAACATAGAATTCTTGCAAAAAAGAACTGCATCCAATTATTTTGGAAGAAAAAAGTTCAAGCTATTGCTACAGTCATGGTGTCGTTGGGTCCGAACAGTTTAACGTTGTTTTTCTTAATGGATTGCCTTCGTACATAGAAACCCTATGGACAGACCTTCAAGTTGTCCGGATTGAACTTGACCATCACTCACCGTCAAGGTCAAACTATTGAATTTTGCTGGGCTTTTGTTAAAATTTTATTGTTTCAAGTATTTCTTACATACTTGTCCACTTATTGCCACACCGACATGATTAAGTATTCACGTTTGACTTTGACCTTTAAGTTACACTGACAGGCATGGTCAAGTCACTTAATTTTACTCTAATTGCCAAACTTTGTTATTAATCGACAGATTCGATTCACAATAATTCGAAAAAGGCAAATTTAATGACTGGGAACATTGACATGTAAAAGTTTTAATTGTGACCTTGATCTGTAAATGACCGTTAATGTCAAGGTCAAATATGGAATTTTAGTTCAATTCTGTAGAAAAAAGTATTTTTAAATCCCTTCTGGAAGAATGATATACATGTTTATATTACATAAAATATAATAAAACAAAAAGGCTGAAAAAGGTGTTCTCTTTGTAATATTCCATAGCATAGCAATGCATGAATAACAGTCGTCACGCTCGTGACTTCATAATATTATAGTTTGACGCGTTTAAGAAAAAAAATACTAACCAGTCCAGTTTTAGTACCTCGGTAAAGAGACCATAATAATCCTCATAATAAATGTAATGAATAACTGCACCAGAGGCTTTTTTGGAGGAAATTCATACAATCAATAAATATAGGTACAGTATATGATCAATCAATCAATCAATCAATCAATCAATCAATCAATCAATCTAGGTGCAGTATTTGATAGCTAAAAGTGTTTTATTTATTTGTTTTTTTAGAATATTGTTAACAGAAATTATTTGTAAATTGATGCACCGTTTCTAGGAAATTAACATTGACTGGTGTTTATGCCAATACAATTTGAAATGATACAATCATAGTTTTTTCAAAATTTATAAAAACAAAACAATGCCTGGAATAAAGTAGATGTAACCTCTTTTGAGAATAATAAAACATTTAAATCCTCCGAAATGTTGAAAAAAAAATTCATGAGTTCCTTCATGTAAATGCAAAGGATTATCAAATGTAGAATGATGTTGTTAAATGCTTTCTGTTTGTGTTTGTCAGAAGTTCTTTTATCCATGGGTATGAAAATAGTCCGACTATTACATCAGTCACCAATGAAAACATCTGGAAGAAGTGAGAGGACATGATTAATTTCAAACAGTCATAAATAGAGTTTGTATATGAAACATTACAACTTTCAAAAGATTTATAATTATGAATACGTTGGCAGATATGTGCGGAAAACATGTTAGCAATGGTACGGAATGCAAGAACAATTCCTAGGCAACTGCTGGCAAAAATATGACTGAAACACTGTGAAACAAAGACTTCGGACGCGATGATAAGGTCATTTCTTCAAAACTAGAAGTCATGAGTGAAGTAATAAGACTTTGTGATTAAACTATGAACAAGAAATAAATCTTATTACTAAATTTCATTAAAATTTTAATTTTTAACAAGCTAAATGACTTCAAAACGTTTTGTTAAAACAGACGTTTCATAAATAAAAGTGAGAATAATTACATTAAAAGTCCAAATCCAATCATTCAGCAGCACTATCATTGTTCATAAAAATGGTAAAATGAGACAAGGAGCCGCTGCAAGTTTAGGATTACTTCTATACACATATAACAGTTTCTCATTGATACTGAATATCCCTGTTGCCGCAGTCTTTACATAAGGCGCGTAATGTGAGGCGCTTGGAATGCGATAGATTGGTTCAACGTCATCTTTCGTGTCACCGAGTATAACTCTGACGTCATAAACGGTTTTTGGCGGTGGCATTTCATTGGTTCTTTTGTCTCTCAGACGAGAACCAGTGCACGGTCCAATTTCTTCAGCTGAGATGTGCTTGTAATGGTTTTGGTGGAAAAGGTAACATTTTTGGTCCGACGATTCTTCTTCTGTTGGAACGTATCGAAGTTTGACGTCAGATTTTCCCTAATGAAAACGTATACATGCTTTAAATCGTTTTCGAAAAGAAAAGACAAATAAACACTCGATATCTAGATCTATATATAGGTCAAGACAAATAAACTTTAACAAATGGGGTCAATAGAACGAATTCATAACAAAAGACTACTAATCGCAGGCATTTTAAAGGACCTTTTAAGTTTAATTTAATTAAGCTCCGCCTTTTGTTTTCATTGCTTGGTCAATAGACTTACTCCGGAATAAAAATATTTTGGGTTTTACTAACTAATTAACTTTTACAGTTACAGCTTCGAAAATAAGCGCAAAAGGTTATCTATTGTGAACGCTATATTGCAAAAATAGCATTTGTCTGCACTTAAACAGACTTTAAACTGGATTTTGCCATTCATGAAATGTGCATAAAACTTTGCAAAAGATTTAACTTGGTCTTCAGAAATTTAGCTCATTTAAGGTAAATATTCTTATTGTTATCATTTTTATTTTTGTTTATAATAGTCCTTAAAACATAGACCTGGTAGTGAAATTGCAAATGGTTCATCATTTTACATTGTAGGCTTTGTTGTTATATGAATTTTGGCCTACTTTCACTTTGGACCCATGTTTTGAAAACAAACGTGACTGACAAAGCGGAATCACCTTAAGGTACTACTACTTTTTCCACACACACAAGTTGATCTAGTATGAAGAAAAAACTGCAAACATTGTGTGTTAAACGATATCATGTACAGACGGCCAGTAATTCATATAAAATTAACTGTAACTACTTCGCATCATTACCTGTTGTGGGTACACCTCCATCGAACACATTTCCGTCCCGTGAACTGTTGCAATATTTATATTCATCCCATAAGCACTTCCACATGGTTTACACTCCATTGCAGACGTACATTCTTCAATGCTGCTGCACGCGAGCAAGGAACGCAGCAATATTGCGACTGGTACCCCACTTCGATTTGCTGTTTTCGGAGACAACGAGTTCAAACTTATTACCAGAGATTTATTCATCCCGAAGCAGAATCCTGTCAAATATCCTGGGTAACTAAATGATACGAACTGTTCAATCACACGCTCATTTTCGTCTGCAATTGTCACGTGCACAATATAAACTCGGGAAGACACGTCTGCCGTCCAGTCGTCGTTGTGTCCGATCATTCGACAGCTCTTTCCGTTCACAAGAACATCGGTGCATCCCTTTCCAGCATTTGCAATATCTTCTTTTTCTATATGCCCTTCTTTTAAATGACAAAACTTTAGCTCCGATGAAATCTGTAGAAGAAAAAGATCTTCGAATTTTACCTCAGATCCGTCCGCCATGCCCTGAACCTCAGCTATATATGTCGGATAGGTTTCACAGCCAGTAGATAAATACTTATCTACTAACTTTCGCCCCCCTTTGTCCGTGTAAAACGCCTTGTACCTTTTTACTTCGTCTGAAGTTTCCATGTAATCCTGTATCCATCCTGGAATAAACATCAGATACGAAACCGAACATTAAAGAGTACTCCACAGATATCACCAAAACTGGATTGTCGAAAAGAAAAAAAAACTTTATCATTATGTTTTTGTTTACATATCACTAAATGTCATATGGTGATTTTCCTGTTGTGGAGTAGGCCTAAAGCAAAAAAGAAATGTGCCACACCACACTGCATTATTTAAAAGGCACATTATGCCTCAGAAACAAATAATTTCTTACTTTTTAAGAAAGGGCAAACATAAATTCTATAACGTTTCAATAATGGTTTTAGAGCATGTCAGATGCTTGTTACTTAAAGAAAGTAACACTAATTGTGAAAACAAATCTAAAAGTATCAAACTGTAAACAAAGAAGTATTTTGACTTCCATACGAAACACTAAATTACTATAACTGTACTTGCAAAAAGTCAACAGAGAGAAAGAATGGTTCAGGTAAATGGCCAATGACTAACTTTTTGGAAATAACAATAAATATCTGCGGCATAATGGGCCTATAAGCAAATTGTAACAAATAAATAACGTTGACAAAATTCATGTCGCTACTATTTGTGTAAATTTATACACAACTTCAGCTAATATGAAACATACAGACTTAATGAAAATAGAATTGTGGTAAAACATTACTCACTGTAAAGAATTAAATGCTTCGATAGGTAAATGCTCACCTTTGAAACTAGTTCCAATGGCAAAACCAACGTCGTAATGATTTCTGGCTCGAATATAGAGCACCGGAAGACTTTCTGATTTATCCATTTCAATATAGAATATGTATACATGTATATGTATATATTTTGGAGGCCCTTAACTGCATATAATATGAAAATTATATAAAAAATATACATTCATATAAAGTTATTCATGCACATAGTTTCATTAGTGAGAAGACCTTATATTGAACCAGAAACCATGACCTATAGATAATGGAAACTGTTCAAAATTACATACGTTACAACGTCACTTAAGTCTTGCCCTGATGAATTTGTACAATGGTATGTCCTACCACTTTGTCGAGTTATAACTTATATTTTATGTACATTTATTCACATTTTACATATTACACATCGTTCTTCGACAAACCGGGTATTAAGTATCCATATGTCATTCAGTAACATTATTCAGTGACTTAAGTCATTCAATCGTATTTAAGAGGTTTGAATAATTGGCAAACAATAAAGAGCCTGGCAAGGTTGAATGGATGTGCAGGTTTGATTGGATGAACGGATGTGCAGGTTGGACTGGTCGAACGGATGTGCAGGTTGGACTGGTTGAACGGATGTGCAGGTTGAACTGGTTGAACGGATGTGCAGGTTGGACTGGTTGAACGGATGTGCAGGTTGGACTGGTTGAACGGATGTGCAGGTTGGACTGGTTGAACGGATGTGCGTGCAGGTTGGACTGGTTGAACGGATGTGCAGGTTGGACTGGTTGAACGGATGTGCAGGTTGGACTGGTTGCAGGGATGTGCATTATGGCCTGGATAGAAAATCGAATATGCAAAAACTTGACAAAGATGACGGTAAAATAAGAAAACGAAAAAATATCGGTATATTAAATTATACTTAAAGACTATTTCTGATAATGTTTCACAGGTTTTGCATATCTATGTTGATTAGTATATATTTTGATAAAACAATGTCAAAGCACAGCTGTCTCTTATCTTCCTATATGTAATGACGACATGCCCTATTTGCCAACAGTTTGGTTTAAAGGCACATGATGCCTCAGGAATATATTTTTTTCCTTCTTTAGAAGGGACAAACTTGAACTGTGATATGTTCAAATTATGGTCTTAGAGTATGTTACATACATAGAGAAAGAAGCAATAAACTTAAAATTATTTGTCTTAAAAGTAGCAAAACAAAGTAATATTTTGACTTTCATACAAAATACTATATCACTATAACGGTACTAAATACCAAAAGTCAACAGAAGCAAAAGATGGTTCAGGTAATTGGCCATTGAGTAATTTTGAGTATTTTGTTTTGAATCTATAACAAGATATTAAAACAAATTAGAAGCTTGTGAGAAATAAAAATAAATGCACTCCTTGGGCATAATCCTTTAGGAATTTCTTTTCATTATTATAGACCGCCATATTTATTCAGCTGACAATCATGTAACTCATCTACATCATAACAACCAATTTTATTAATTTCAGACTTTGTTATTAGTGTCAAAACAAACTTCTGTTTCTAATATAGTAAAATTATTGATAAACTTTATATAAATACATTTTACAGACTTATATCAATATCCACCCATATGGATAATTAAATGTACATAAACTCACAAACATGTACTTACATAGTACAATATTACATACCGCCATTCGATTTATTACTCATATACCATTCAGTAACATTCACTTGTTTAAATCATTCATATATTATTTATTTACACTTTCCAAGCATGTGACCACAGAGGTTATGAACCCCTCCTGGGATTTAGGTATTATGCATCATATGTATTAGGCCTACATCAAGGTCTGGATGTTAACTTTCGATTGTTGTAGTTTTGTTGCTGTTGTTGTTGTTTTGGGGTGGTCTTTTGTCTTACTTTTTTATTTACTTATAACTTTAAAATGTCGTTGCGACATAAAACAACTGCAGCAGCAACAACAACAAAACATTTTGCTACGTTGAAACTCTTCAATACCAATATACATACATATATTGAGATAATTTTGAAGTAGTTTACATATGTATTGGTAAGGTCGATATATAATTGGGCTAGTTTACATAATGAATGCTGATAATTTATACGGCAGTTGGTGGTTACAACAATGGTTTACTCGGGCAAACATGTTGATTCAGTAATTGTAAGATTTTGTCTTCACAGTTTTATTTATACATCCACTTCAAAATAGAAAATAAGGTGGAAAGGTCATGCAACATTGTCCCAGATATAATTTATATAACGTAAAAGAAATTGATTTTTAAGCCTCTCAACCTAGGCCAATTAAAGTTCGGGTCAAAGTTTAAATGAAGCTTAATCAAAAATACCCGTATTCGTTGATATAATAAGTTCACATATAATGTAATAACAGCAAGCATAAATAACACATTTATCTATCAAGCATAAATAACACATATAGTAATATAGAAATTGTAGCTTGATAAAGCAGGTTTATGCTTACACCAACCGTTGTGTTTTAAATACAATGACAAACATTATGTGTTGCAAGAAAAGCCAGACAAGGTACCCGTCTCATTTTCGGGTTACAAGAATGTTCAAGTCAAACAAGGTACTTGTCTCACTTTCGGATTAAAAGAATAGCTCCGGTTACAAAAATAGATTCCGGTTACAAGAATAGCTGTCTCATATTCGGATTACAAGAATAGCTCCGGTTACAAGAATTACTTCAGGTTACAAAAATTGCTTACAGTTACAAGAATAGCTGTCTCAGATTCGGATTACAAGAATAGCTCCGGTTACAAGAATAACTTCAGGTTACAAGAATTGCTTACAGTTACAAGAAAAGCTGTCTCAGATTCGGATTACAAGAATAGCTCCGGTTACAAGAATAGCTTCAGGTTACAAGAATTGCTTACGGTTACAAGAATAGCTGTCTCAGATTCGGATTACAAGAATGGTAAGGTCAGGCAAGATACCCGACAAAGTTTCGGGTTCCTCCTATAAACATAGAGCTGCCTTTCACTTATGTTGAAAATTGCAGTTGCAACAGTTTTCACATCAGGTGCATTATGGGAAGCACAAGGCACCCGATAAATTGGTTCTACGCCATCTTCAGTATCGCCAAGAATAGCTTTTACGTCATCAATAGTTTTCGGAGATGTCATCTGATTAGCCCTCTTGTCACGAAGCCGGGAGCCAGTGCATGGTCCAGATTCCTCAGCAAGAATGTTTTTATAAAAGTTTTGATGATAATAATAACACTTTTCGTGTGGTAAATCTCCTTCATATGGAATGGTTTTGATATTTACTTCAGACTTCCCCTACAATACAAACATATAATGCATTATCAACCATGACGCAATGCTATCCGTCTTACCTAAACATTTTATTTGTTTTGAATGAATGATTACAACGAAGGGTCTGCCCATCAAAAAGCGTGACCGTGTCGTATTGGCCAAACAAATGAATTATGTCCCGTTCACCAACTACAGTATTCAGGGCTGGGAATCAAAACTGCGTCGTATCCTACAAAATGTAAACAAACGCCGCCATCTTGGAACGAAAAATGTATGTTTTTGTTAATAACTCTTTTTGTTGGAAATGACTGAAAACCAGATATATGTATTAACACGCTACACTATTTTCCGCTTCGTTCGGTATATGTTGCTTAGACAACTATTTTGTAAAACAAAAGTTATAGCGAACTTGCAACTCGAAGCGGGGCAGAATTTTTATGAAAATGTGTGGATACGACGCAGTTCATATTGCTTTATGTATCGTTTCTCCTTCAAATCAATTATATACTCGTTTTCAGAGGTCACCATAAACTTCAAAACATAATTTTGCATCATTTACTAAATTTTCATTAAAAAGAGATGTTTATTTTCCAAGAAAATAATGATTTTACGAAATGATACGACGCAGTTGAAAATAAAATATGATACGACGCAGTTGTATTTTCATTGCAGGCTGCATATTGGTTTTAAACTATTTAAATTATGTGCTAGGTATGCTAATAACGTCCAACAACATTTCTTGTTTACAACTTAAGGTATTAGGACCCTAATGGGCACTATCAGGAACTAAAAAATTGACATCATAAGTCAGATTTATACCTTAAAGTACACCTATATGCAAAATTTAAACAAAGTTTACCGTACGGAAATCAAGTTATGGCCACTTTTCTGAACTCAAGCTAGGATGTTATGAGGGCCCTTTTTTTAGAAAGTAGGAACCTTTAAATAATCTGCAATAACATTCTAATGAAAAATGTTTTCCCATTAAATTTTGGTAAGAAACAAATAATACCATTCAGCTAACAATCCAAATAAGCAAAATTATGGTTTCTACTTAAAATTTATGAAATCTGTATAAAAATGTTACCCTATCCCACCCATTTTTACCACGTGTCTGACCATTTTTCTACTTAGGGAGCCTTATTAAAAAAAATTCTTAAAATTTACCCAAATGAGTGCCTGTTTTCAAAGTTTCCCTAAATTTTTAAAAAAGTATATTGGTTGATCTTGTAAAATATGAAAAACTTTTACCGTCTAGTTTTGATTATATTACACTTTGAAAATATCAGGTACCATATTTATTACTATATTTAGCATAATTTAGCCAATAAATACCTATATGAATTAAAAAAATCAAAATTAAACACTTTTTTCTTTCTTTCCAAATGGGACATGAGAGATACATAAATAATGTTAAAAGAAAAAAAAAGAAAGAAAAAAAAGTTGACCCTTCTGGGGATTGAACCCATGGCCCTCATTTTCAATGTAGTTAACAGTAGTTCTAGCCTATTTGAATACTCTTCAAAGCGGAGGTAATGCATTAGGGTGCTAATACCTTAAGTCAAAAGCAGAGGTCACTCATAGTCTGGATTACCTGCCCCTGTTACTAATAATCGTAGAATAGTAGGCAGGGAACCAGATAAGGTCACTCATTTGTTCCATAAAAATGGAAATGTAATACAATTCTATCAAGGCTGCATTTTTCGGTAGCATTTAAGTACCAATCATATTAAGCATCTACAAATTCCGAAAAACTGTATCAAATGCAATATACATTATGCAATAAACACGTGATCGCACAACCATATGACAACGTGTTCCAGTGTTGCCTTAGCATGCTTCTAAAATTGTTCCCGTGAGTTCGAAATGGGAGTGATTACTATTTTTGATACAAAATTTAATATTTCAGTGTAACCTCTCCTGAACCCTGTACTAGTATTAATCAGGAATGACCTTTTTTTTAACAAAAAGAGAGAAAGAATTACAAATTTTGAAAAGGTCTCTTGCTATCGGAAGAGAGCTATGCGCAAATTGCATGCCTACCTTTGTTACTTGTAATTAGCAATGATTTCCGTCAATTCCGTTATTACTTATGTCTTTTACGTGCCGATTTTATTGTACTCATTTTCTTAATAATCGGTTAGAACAGATGAGCTTTATTATTTGAAACTGAACATTAAATTTTTAAAATTATATTATAAATGGTTAAGCTACAATATATTTTTGCAAGTAGGTTATGCGTTCCATTTAGTCATTTTATGTTCAGCACCGCGGAACTTTACCTGTGATGTTGTCGTATTGCATTTCTTTATCGCCGATGAGGAAAGGTCTACGGAATGTATTTCTATATTTGCACTTAAGTATCATTCTTCTCCATTAAAAAACTTTAAATTTTCAAAATCGAGTTACATATGATACAACTACAGATTATTTTGTAAAGAAGGTGTCCGTTTTGCAAAGGTATTTTACGCTGTGCACCGATAAATTTGATACAGATATAGGCAGACATGATCTTTCAACAGTATTGAAGAAGTTTTCACAATATTGAACAGAAAATTAAGGTCAGATTATCGCATCGAATTTTCAACAGACTAGAGACATGGCATCTTAACATACCTTCATACTAAAGTGTGATTTTTATTTGATAATGAATTGCCTGAAAACTTAAACAAAGGTTTTCAGAAAATGACTTCACAGAGGATTACCCCCTGTTTACATTGAAAATTTCTCTGCTAGTCATACCGAAATAAGAAATTTAAATGTTATTCTCTTTATAATTAATTCAAATATTTATAATCTTATAACTTCACGCCCGAAGTTAATAAAAAAGCTGCTTATTTGTACAGCTGACGTTAACAAATTTTGTTGAAAAAACAAATCAGACAGGTGTGTCCGACCGTGGCCGAGCTGTTTATGTTTACTGAATTCAAATCACTTGAACTGAACTGCTATGCATTCGAAAACTACCAGGGACTTTTTATTCTTTCGTGTGGAAAACCTATCAAGCTAGTTTCAAAATGTCGATGGTTCTCTGCAGGTGCAACATTTTGCCTGAAATAATGCACAAAGGCGCACCCGAAGTCCTCGCCCCTAGTAAAGCTAATGTGTAGAGTGAAAGTTTGAAAACAAACCACAAAAAAGCAGTCATTACCCAGAACATGCAGAACCACAGTTAACTTAGAGCGTAGCTAGCCAACATGAATTCAAGTTAATAATAGATTTCTATATTTTTTTTTGCGAAAAAAATAGGGATAATATTGAACATACAAGAAAATATAAGAAATTGTTTCAGATATTATGATCAATTAGGTAACATGTTTAACTGAAAAGTAGCTTCCGCAATGTAAACTTTCAAATTAAATGTTATATTGGACATGACACAATGTATTCTAAATAATCAAAAGCAACAGAACATTGCTATACACCGCAAATGATCTGGGTTTTTTTTTATCTAGCGCAAGTGATTATTCCATAAAATAGAAATATTTTGCCAAAATTATCCCTGTTGAAAAGACTGCCAAAAATACAACTGCGTCGTATCATATTTTATTTTCAACTGCGTCGTATCATTTCGTAAAAATCATTATTTTCTAAGAAAATAAACATCTCTTTTTAATGAAATTTTAGTAAATGATGCAAAATTATATTTCGAAGTTTATGGTGAACTCTGAAACAAATATATAATTGATTTGAAGGAAAAAACGATAGATAAAGCAATATGAACTGCGTCGTATCCACACATTTTCATAAAAATTCTGCCCCGCTTCGAGATGCAAGTTCGCTATAACTTTTGTTTTACAAAATAGTTGTGCAAGCAACATATACCGAACGAAGCGGAAAATAGTGTAGCGTGTTAATACATATATTTGGTTTTCAGTCATTTCCAACAAAAAAAGTTATAAACAAAAACATACGTTTTTAGTTCCAAGATGGCGGCGTTTGTTTACATTTTGTAGGATACGACGCAGTTTTGATTCCCAGCCCTGGTATTTAGAACGATCAGTTTACACATAGTGTAATTTAAATTTGGTTTAAATTTGAATATTTATTAGTACCCGGTCTTTCCAGATAATTTAGGCTTGGATTACATTAGGAAAAATTATACGACTTTTTCGAGAAAAAAAAAGAATATTTAGGAAATTAAAAACTACCTCTGACACAAGTGTTTTTTTTTTCATTTGTATGACCTTTCTTTTAAGAAACATTAAGGTAAAAACAGTCAGGTTTTCTAAGTTAGATCATTTGGCTGCTGATGGGAAAAAACTATTTAGGATTGTGTGAATGGAAGCATATATTAGATTCTTATGATAGGGCATATAGTATGTCTATCAAATACAACTACTCATTGCCTTTGTACATTAAACATACATGTGCCATTGTATACATTAAGATAGTCTTTGGTATGCATTTGAAGAACAACAAAAACATGGAACAAAAAGAGTAATAAAACTAGTTTCTACGATATGACGATATAATTCTGGCCATTGTTTATGGTTACACACGTAAGTAGTCTAACTCTTACCTCCTGTGGGTATATTTCCATGGAGCACATCTCAGTTCCATTTATAGAAGCAATATTTATAGTCATTCCATAAGCACAACCATATGGCTTGCTCTCCATGACGTTGTAGCATTCGTCTATGCTATTATAAGCGAAAAGTGAACGCAGCAGAATTGCTAGTGGAACCCCCATCTTATTAGCTCTCTTCGGTGACAGTGAGTTCAGACTTATAACCAAAGATTGATTCATTCCGAAACAAAACCCTGTTAAGTATCCAGGATAACTGAACGATACGAACTGTTCAGTCACGTGATCAGTTTCGTCTAAAATAGTCACGTGAACAATATAAACGCGGGAGGAAACATCATTTGTCCAATCGTCGTTATGTCCAATCACCCTGCATTGTTTTCTGTTAACTAAAACATCAGTGCAGCCTTTTTCCACCTGATTACTTTCCTGGTCTCCTAGAATTTCATTCAAATGACAAAACTCAATTTCCGAAGAAAGTTGTAGTAAGAAAAGGTCTTCAAAATTGACTGCCGCTCCGTCCGCCATGCCTTGAATTTCCGACATAATATTCGGATAATGTTTACGACTGCTTGACAAATACTGCTGAACTATTTGACTCCCTTCATCACAGCTGTAAAACTTTTTATACTGCTTGACATCGTTTGAAGTGTCTAGATAATCTTTTATCCATCCTGAAAGAAAACATTTCCCCATATAATCATATGACACTGCATAAAAATACAAGCTGATAAATCATTTTACAAAAGTAATGAATATAAACCAGTTTTCAGGATGCAATCACCTTTTATAAGTGTAATCCGTTTAAATGTTATGCTTAGTAAAACTACAAAGATAAAAAAATGGATGACAGACGAAAAAAAACAACATAAAGTAAAGTCACGGATAGGCAGGGTCGGTCCCAACCCGATCTTCCCATTCAAATTGCCTAGTGTAAAGATACCACGCGGATCCTCCATCTAAAATGTTATGTTGAAAGTTCCAACATTACATGAACAAATAAATTATACTCGACTTCAATTTATTACTGAATGAAACATACCTTTAAAAGTCGTACCAATAGTATGTCCAACATCATAGTGACTCTTTGCTCGGATATATAATACTGGAAGACTTTCAGTTTGGTCCATTTCTACGAATATATGTAATTCATACGATTTTATTAGACAATATTTGTATTCAAAATGAAAGATTAAAGATTAATTCCCATTATTCGACTGGAGTGTTTCCGTATACATGATGTAGATCTATGTATAATTTTATAAGTGAAAAGTGGTGTTTTTTTCAGTGATCATTGATGCACAAGCATGTACGTAAACCTTTTTAGCGTAACGTTTTTAACACTTACAGATGTTTTTGTGTAAGCTACTTTAGATTTTAATCAGTGTTTTCAGTAACCTTGATTTTGCAACTGGGAATTATGTTTAAAAAATGACCGAATTAAAACGTCGTTGTCTTTTAGTGACCCTTACGGAAATGATACAGTGTAAGACATGTAGGCCTACTAATTTCATTAAGCCAAACCAGATAGGACGGCATTTACTATTTTAGGTCAAGCATGTTTAGTACGTAAATGTTAATCGTTCTTTTTTATGCCATTAAAAAAAACAAAGTAACCCAGCCTTGATCTAAATACTTAACGTTATACAAATTGTTCCGTAAATAGCATAATTTTTGATAAATATACACGACGCTGGCAGATTCCCCCTTCCTCGCCCAACACTGTTACAACCCATAAGTTATTAACATATATAGATCTAAAAGTCAATTTCAACATACATTTTTTCATAAAATATTATTTGTATGTTTTCAGATGACACTGGTATATATATAGATCTATATATCGTTAGTCTCAATAAAAATTGTTCTATAGATCTAGATCTATGTAATCATTTAAATGTTAAGATTTCTATGCAAGTAAGCAATCTCGGATTAACATTTTAAGCAATTTCAAGTTCCATTGGAGAACTATGTAACTTAATGATATAAATGAGTTAGTACACATACCCAGGACGAAGTTTAAAGGTCAAATGGTACAAATGGCGTTACTCGGGTCAAGGGAGATAATTGAATTATATTTGTTTAAAGACAACTTCAATTCTTGTTCATCCCAATAGTTTTGTTCCTCTTTAATTGTCTATACATTAGTTATAGTATAGAAAGATGTCAATTAATTAAAAGTATTTAAGTGTCGCGATGGCCCTATAGGGACATCGTGTTATGTTTAGCAATCTATTCATACATATGGTGGCATATTTCTGCCATATTTGACTACTTTTTGCGAATATTTTCCACGAAATCATTCATTCATGACGGATTATTGGTTCCGCACATTCTATAGGTATGAAGGAAGTCGATTTTGGCGAAAGTTGTCGATTTTATTTCAATATAACTATAGAATTGAGTTAGCAACATTGAAAAATCATAGATATCATGTAAAACGTAAAATGGTTCGCAAGCAATTACAAGAGCGCGCACGCGCAATCGGCATGCTTCAGACAGGTCATTCAGTCAGACAGGTGAGTTTGCGATATATAAGAAAATACTGCTTTACCTATAATGTTTGTGATAAGATAAATAATTCGCTTAAAACATAATATTTTACTTTCCTCATAATTAGTAAAAAACAAATATCACTCTGGTTTGTATATTTTCAGAAGACGCGAGTTTTTTTGCAGAAACGTACGTGTCTGTCATAGCCAGACTTCTATTAAAGTAGCAGCATACCGGCCGAGTTGAGGACGAGCGGCGGCAGCCTCGTGGAACGGTCACAACACCTGGATCAGATGCCAAGATTATTGTAGGTCATCTTCAAGACCGATTAAAGACCGCCGAATCGACTGCGTCAACAACACCTCGTACCGCAAGGTAGACGCATTAGTAGCAAGGCAGTTATCAGGCGTCTCCGTTACCAGAACATTCGAGGAAGGCGACAATATATAATAGCCTTGTCCTGACTTCACGTCATCGTCAAAAGAGGGAACAGTGGGCTCGCCGGCATTAGCGTACATCATGACGCATGCAGAGTGGACAAATGTCCTCTTTACGGATGAAAACCGCTTTGATTTGTTACATAGTTACGGTCGGGTTTGAGTTTACTGACGGTGAGGGGAACGGTTGAACGACGCCTGCATCATTCAACGAGACCGGTATGACGACGGTTCCGTAATGGTTTTGTCTTGTGTGTTCCTACATACCAAGACTTCATGATCATCCGAGGAAATCTGACTGCTGTAAAATATCAACAGGATGTTCTTATTCCTTTGACTTTTCCACATCTTCTAGCTGGTGGACGGGGTATGATACTTCTGCACGACGGTGCACCGGCACACACAGCACATGCCACCCGGGACCTTCTACAACAGCAAAACATTTAGCAGCTTCCCTGGCCGTCCAAATCTCTTTATCTAAATGTTTTTTTAACACTGTGGGGTGAATTGAATAGGCGTTTGCGCAGGCGAGGGGTACAACTGCAGGGACTACCAGAACTGGAACAGGCCCTGGTGCAGGAATGGAGGAACATTCCACAGAGATTTCTGAAGAATTATGTAATGTCCATGAAACAGACGTGTATGAAAGATATACAAGCTGAGGGAGGACATATTGGATATTAACTGATTAATATTATGTTTAACGTATTCTGTGATAAGTGCTGTGATAAAACAATGTTGTTAATTTTTGCGATTTATTCTCTGTTACTCATGTTTTATTTCTGTTAAATTTTATACTTTTTCATTATTGGCTACAATAAAATTTGCACAATACATATATGAGATGTTCATTTTATCTATACTCTTAATTTCATTAATAACCTTTCTTTAATAACAGCAAAAGTATTGCGTTAGATAAGTCTTTCAGTATATATCCAGAGTGGATACGTATGACCCACATCGCCCATTTTTGTTAGTATGTTGACCCCTTTTGAAATTGTATATCATCATAAATTTAGTGAAAACCACGCATGAATTTTACTCATAAACAACTCTTGAAAACAAGTAATTTCATACGCATGTCCCTACCTTATATGCATTACCTGAGATTTTGCGACCATTTTAGTACCCACCTGTGAGACGGTGCAAAAAAAACGTTGTTTTCATGTGTGCTTGATTTTACCATATCAGGATTTACATTTTTCATAAATAAAACAGCTTGTATTTATAACCTTCTTTAAAAAATGTCGTACACTCAGTTTGATTCAATATGTAATTCAAGTAAAGATAATACACATATAATAAATATTGTTTCATTAAGATCTATATTAAGTTTGGACGGCAAGTGTTTTACTTCAAAAGTACTACCACTCCGTCCGTTTTTAAAAGACGATCCCTTTTTATGAAACAGACAATGTATTGCTTGCATTCTATTAATCTAGTTCACTTGCATGATGTAGGTAAAGTATCCAAAAATGACCCTTATTCTTAATTCGTCATCATTACTTCACAACTTAATTTTCCTTGTTCCTTTATTAGAGTTTAATTATAACTTATTATAACTTTATAAGTATCTACTTAATGTTGAAAGAGAGAAAACATTAAAATAAAAATTGAAAAAATTACACCAGATGCATGATAAAACAATATCCAATTAAAAAAAACAGCCACGCCTCCTTTTTGATACGACCAGATATCGTCCAATCAAAATGAATAAATAAATTCATCCCGATGCAGTCAGAAAATAAACAGTTGTGAAACACCCAAAATGCATTCAGATTTTTGAGACAAAGGAAACACCAAGGAATAATACTAAAGGATCTTATAAGGTTGATGATGAAGATTGTTTTTGTGTCTGGATTGCTGGTGTTGGCTGCTGTAGTAACTGATGTTGTAGCGGTAGATAATAGCTCGGAAAATGACTCGGATAATGACCCGGATGACCTCACATATGAAGCTAAGCTTCTGGAAAGGATGATACGTATGGAATCAAGGATGGAACGATTACATAAATCATTAGAGAAAGCAAAGACAAATTACCAGGCCACTATACAAGACCAAACCAAGGTTTTGAACAACAAAACTTTACAATTAGAGGAATTACAAGGTAACTTCATCGCATTTTGTATAGCCATGTGCAGTTAAATGTTTCCAACGGATACTTGTCTGTATGTTTTTGATTGCTTCTGTCTTTTGTTTCTTTTGTTTGTTTTCTTTCTTTCTTTCTATCATATTTGTTTGTTTTCGATTACGTTTGCTTGTTTTTTATCAATTTATTTCTTTTCATCTTTTTTAAAAAAAATGTACAAATGCATGTCATTATACACGTTCAGTCGAAAAGAATATAGTGCCATTTAACTAAAAATTTTGATATTGTACTCAATAAAATTTTATCATTTTTATACGATAACGTTATGCTGTATATCTTTTTTTTTCAGAAAAAATAGATGTTCCATTAGTAGCCTTCAATGCTCACGGCCCACGTGACTATAGTCCTGATACAAATCAGATATACATTTGGGCATCTGTACGCATTAACGAAGGTGACGCATACGACATTAATACAGGTATCTTCACGGCACCAGTTACCGGACTCTACTATTTCGCCGTTCATACGTGTAACTATGCAGGGTAGAAAATAAATATGCTATTGTGAAGGAGAAAACTGACATTGCTTCGTCCTACCAATATGATAACGCCGTCAATGACTGTCACTCAATGAGCTCTATCACCACGATTACAGCTGGACAAAGAGTTTGGGTGAGATGTACAACTGGAGGTACCAGCAACCAACTGTGGGAAAGTAGTGGTAGAAGCTCCTTCATTGGTGCTCTTATTCATAAATAATTGTTAGACGATGTGTTATAAGAATCACCAAAGCCAACTTTAACCATCTATCAATAATTATTTCATTTTTTCTCTCTTTTTTACGTAGTATGAGACCTGATATTTCTATGTGGAAGGCTTTTGAACTGACTTATTCATGACGAGCCTACAATTTTACTGTGCTTTACGTGATCTAGGTGTTCCCATTATACTATATAATTTCTTTCTATTATACAAAGATGAAAGGTTTTATTTCAAATAAAAACATTTTAAAAGATCCGTGGTTTTGTTAAGTTCAACTCTATTAAAGTGTTAATAGTATTAATATCCAAAATTATTGTGGCATGTAATGTCTGTACGTACATTGTATATTTGTGAATTGGTACACATGTAACCCAATGTTGTGGTTTATTGTTGTCATTCATTGTATAGCATAAATTCTACCATGTACTTGCCAATAGATGTAATCCAGAACTCGGCAAATGTGGGCTTTTCCCAGCTCATCCCCCGGTACAAACAAACGTTTTCCGTTATAGCTTCATGTTGCACTACCGGTCACAATAGATTAGTTAACCTGCTGCTCTTATTTTCGAAGGTGTAACTGTAAAAGTTTGTTTGTACCGTAGATTAGCAGGGGAAATCCAAATATCCTTATTTCCGGAGTAAGTCTGTTGATGGTCAAAACATTTGACGACAGTTTGTGTTATATGTAATAGAAAGAGCACCGAAACACGAGGCTATGTGATCTGTGAGGGGGCGTAGCCCCCGAGTATTAATCAGATTGCCGAGTGTTTTGATGTTCTCATAGTCAAACATAAAAACACATTCCCTGTTGTCACAATATGAAACCCCGGGAAAAAGTAACCATTGAATATGATATTTTTGTCGCTTTCCCTTTCTCTTCCGTCACAATAAGTAAACCCCAGCAAAAATGAGCCAATCAATGGGCATGCTCTGGAGTGCGGGTAAATAATACATGCACTCCAGTTCAATGTGCATGTATATGTATACGATTTAACTCTGACACATGTTCAACAGAAAGGTCCCCAAACTATGACACAATAGCTAATGTTACTCACCACAGTATTACTTGAAGAGAGGGGGGGGGGGGGCTAGCCTGGAGGATATAAACTTTTTTTTGAGATCTGTCGTACATACTGTGCAAGTTTCGCCCAATCCAATATCCTGACCGTTGCTTATTTTGTATAAACTAACGGTCTGTGCCACTTTATTGCTTCTTAACATGCTTTACAGTTCGCCAAAGTTTGTCTGCCAATGAAATCGCTCTATTTTGTTTAGATTTTGCCGAAATATTTTCCATACAGTGCTGTAACTTAACTGTATGTATTAAATTTATTTAATGAGCCGATTCAATGGACTCCGCCTATTTACATAGTGCACTCGATTTGAATAGACAGGGCTAACTGTAAGTCGGTTATAGGTTATATACAGAGTTTTAAGAAACTAATTTTCTCGCTTCACTTTGTTCGCTCGAAAATTAATTTCTTAAAACTCTGTATATAACCTATAACCTATACTTATATATCTTATTTTTAGCTGGGTAATTATGCGTTTTTACTGTGATGCGGTATGCTAGATGTCTTGTTTGAATGTTGCATGTTTTATGCATTCTGTAGCATGCATTTTAATGAATGTTTATTTAAATCAGGTGTTATAATAGGTTTTATTTCTTACTTTTGCATGATTCTGTTTAATGTAAGTGGAATGTTATACTTTTTATCTGAAGTTTTACTTGCATTGTAAGTCCTAACCATGTTTTACATATTTTATCTTTACCCAATGTATTTATTGGTATTTGAGCGGTACTCAACTCTCAACACTTAATAGAGCTGGCATCAATGATCCCGAAGGACCAGAAAAATACAACAACACTGAAGTGAAGTACGGGGCAACTTTTTACAGCTGCCACACAGCACTTAACACCTGTTGTTGTGAAGTATAAAAATCTGAAAACAAAGTGACCTCTCGATAGCATTATTCACAACAAAATTATATGAAAATTGCAGACTCGGTTTGATTGAGTCTGTACATGAGAGATAATGAAAAGTACAACATCCCTCACGTCCCCTAGCACCGGCTTGAGCCTCAATTCTCAACACTTAATAGTGCTGGCATCAATGATCCCGAAGGACCAGAAAAATATAACACATTGTTTCTATAAACTAAATAGACATAATGATACGAAGATGTTCACTGGTGTTGTCCTCGCAGACTAGACTTAAGCTTCAACTGCTAAACATATCACAACAAAGCTGAATGTCGCATTTGCCCCTATATGTCGTACCATTGCGGCTAAATGTCGCAACAGCCGCTTAGTGTCGCACGATTTTCTTGTGCCGTTAAATGTCGCAACACTACTGTTAAATCTCGCAAGATGTATATTCATGATAAAATTATGTTACCTTGTGGTATTCAATTACAATAAACATCGAGTAAATATTTGTATAAACATTGTATTTAAGAACTTTTGGACATAAAGGAATGTCCCGATCCGTCTGCAGGCTCAAGATGAAAAATGCTTTTTAAAGTGGATTGGTCTACAATAAGCACATTTTCAAAAAATATTTCAAATATTGATGAAAACAATAGAAACGTATCATTTGGATATTCCTTGAAAAAATTGTTTATCTAGTTCTACCCACAGGAATAAAACACTTTGATCTGATATTATCCCCTAGTCCCTGTTACAACCCCAAAAGATATTATTTAAAGTAAATTTCCACACTACAATAATTAATATGGCACTATTACACAATTTTCATTATACCTCTATGGTATTAGTTATACAATGGTAGCAACTCCTGCGCCCTTCCAGTGCTTTGGTTCTGCTCAAGTCATAACTCAGCCAAGTCTCTATATAATTTTAAAAACTTGGCATCAATCAATAGAGCACACATATATGTTCCATATTAAGGACGGGATTTTCGTTGGTGAGTATAATCGATTTTAGCGATTCAGCCGTAGAAATGTCTATGCTTACTTAATCAGATCTTTTCAAATTTCATGTTACTGGCTGTTAATATGGAATATATCTTCTACTCAATTATTTTGTAGAAGAAATGATTACCTTATTTCACGATAAAAGATATTGTACATGTATATGCAATTTAATCATGCATTCAGTTAATTAATTGAAAAACATTGGATTCATATTTCAAAACAAAATGTTAAATAGGTATTAACACTACAAAAAGAATATATAAGGTTGTGTTGTTGTTGTTGCTGTTTTGTTTTGTCCGAAATAATGTTGTAATTCATGAACATTTCTATATATTTGCTTTCATGAACATTTCTATATATTTGCTTAACATAAATGTCTATGCTTTATTAACAGTTAAATAAAGAAATGTAAAAGAAATATTTTAGAGATGACCCTTCTTTGCTGTTAACAACATTTCTAAATTCAATTGAAATCACTCACCCTCCAGTAATTCATATTCTGCAGTTTTATTTTCCAAGATATTTGTTTGATCATTTATGAAAATGTTAACTTCTGTCTTAGCTTGTTTCAAGTCGTTTTCCATTCTTTCCATTTTCTTTTCAATATGAATCATCTTTTCAAGAAGCTTGGCATGGTACTCGAATGTGTCGACTTGTTTATCCCCATATGCTAGTGCTGCTACACATAAAAGTCCAAACAAATTCGCACCTAACATAGTCTCTTGTTGATGTTCATAAGTCGATTTATACAATTCAAATAACTTACTTACAATATGAACACATATGAATTATAATAGAATTGTATTTCTTCATTTTGATTGGTTAAAATAAATGATTGTTTTCTTTTCTATCAACAAAGAAGTTGTCCGCAGATGTCGTTATTATGTTTAAATGATGGTGTTCTGTTTAAAACTTTTAAACCCAATCAAGTTTCTGAATTCATCATGCAGGAAAAATGACAAAGCAGGAAAAAATATTTATGAAGGCACTTGTTTCAATGGATCCACACGTGTTATGTTTTCCTTTTTTCAGTATTACATGCGTGTACATATAACAAGTGTTCTAGATTAAATTAAATGCTATCTCTCAATCTAAGACAGGACAGGTTGTTGTTTTTTTTTCAAGATAACTATACTGAGTGTGCATGCACACAGAGAAATTTTGTTTACTAATTTAAACAAAGAATTGGCATATTTGGCATCAACACTTGAAGAAATGTATTGAACACACGATAGTTTACATTTGATTTCAATATGATTATTATCAGAACTTTGTTTACGTGTAGACAGGCGACATTCGAACAATAAATTTTGCAGAATTTTGCTCTTTGTAAATGCGTTACTTTTGCTTCTTGAATTTTTGAATGGATCAGCATTCAAAAGTTACATCAGTTCCATGCAGGCTCGAACAAATACATCTATATGTGTCGTTTATAATAATTCAAAAGTTAAAATGATTTAAACTATTTGTACTGTTAGTCATTGAAGAGCACGATTTGGTAAACCAATAGTATCGTAAATATGTTGATTTTTATCTGTTTTATTAATGAATATACGGTAAGCATGCATTTACTGCGCCGAGCACATGGCATGAGTCCCAGATTCACAATATTTATTAGGGATTATGTTTGATACCTATTATCAGGAATTACATTTCTAATGCAGTGCAGATAAGTCATTTTAAATTTGTTAGAATATCTATCAAGATGGTTTGCATAAGTTAATAGTTTCTGCTTTAATTAGATAATAAGAAATTACTTTCTCGGTGCTTGTTACATAAGTATGAATCAATTATATGTCACAGGTGTCCCTCCTCGGTTTTATATGACATTTTTCCTCAAACCCAAATGGACTACTTGACATCTTGTACTTGAAAATAAAATCATATCTACAAACGTGAAGTATTGTCAAATGAAAATAAAATAGCACATCATCTGAAGCAATTCACCATACACGCGTTTAACCATTTAAAACATTGGCCTACGTTTGTTACTTCATTGCAGTTATCATTTAAGCAAGAACTATTCAATGATAATGTGTGGGAAAACAAAATTGGTCGTTTTGGTAATAGTTCAAATCGCAATGAACGGGCTATGTTTTGTCGAGGGGGAAAACTTGACGTATATAGCTCAGGTATTAGACAAGGTGGTTCGACTAGAGGTGAAGGTTAAGGAGTTAGAGAAGGATATGAAGAAAACAAATTCTGATACTAAAGATGTCTTGGAAAATGTGAACAATGTACTGGATAACAAAACAGCAGAGTTTGAGCTCTTACAAGGTGCTGTAACTTTTACAAATAATTTATATCTGACTAGGGCCATCCGGCAGACTTAATTTGATAATTGTCTTAATTTGTCTTATAATCAGATTTTTATGTCAAAGAAAAATATAGAAATATTAAGAATTAGGATAAGCATTGTGTACTGGCAACAGTTTTACGTTTCAATTCATTTTATCTATCGAGCATTGAATCGTGAATTTATCATGTCAATGCATTGATTTCTGTTACCTAAGTACATGATTGATACATATAATTTTATCAGTTACCCTCTGATTTAGCAGCCACCTTATCAATACATATTGAAATAAAATGAAGAGAATGGAGCATTTTACCCCTTTTTCTAAGCCTTGCCTGGGAAATTTTGTAATAACAGACACTAGCATGGTATAGTTATTTATAAGTTTATGTTGGCTAAACATTATGCAAAAACAAACCGAATTTATCATTTAGCAGTTGGTGCTTTACTATATATAGGTCTTATTTATTATTACAGATAGAGATTATACACCAATCATTGCATTTAACGCATACAGTCCAGTTGATAAGAGTTTAGATACCAGTCAGATCCTGATACTTCAAACGGTCCGGCTGAATGAAGGTAACGGATATGATAACGTTCTGGGCGTGTTCACTGCTCCTGTAACCGGGCTCTATTTCTTTGTAGCACATGTCTGCAACTACCCAGGACGAGGTGTTCACTATGATATCATGCTTGAACACATTACAATAGCCAGAAGTACACAGTTAAACAACGTACAATATGACTGTAGCTCAACAAGCGCCGTCACAATGGTCACAAAAGGCCAAAGGGCATATGTCAAGTGTACAAGTGGAAACACCAGTCCGCAATTATATGACGATACACATAGACAAACGTCGTTTTCCGGATTCCTGTTACAAAGAAAATATTCATGAAATGAACTTTGGGAAGACATTCGTAGAAATTTAGCCGTAGATCTACATATTCTTCGCTTACTTTTATACATTAAACATAAAAGATACAACGTTCTTCCTTTCCTCAGACAATGTTAACATTTGTGTATGAACATGGTGTGCTTTTGAATACTTCATTAGTGTTCTTGTTGTCGTAGTTATTCTTGTATTTCTGTAATTTCATAAATGTTCATATTTTCCGTTCATATAAGACTAGGACTGTAAATAATGTAAGAAATAAAGACAACACATTCTACTAAATTCTAGATTAGTACGTCTTCATGAGAAATGAAAATCTACAACATACAAAAATGACGTAACGTCCGTTCATGCGGTAACGTCTCTTATTTACCTTACTTAAATATAAATCAGAATGTTACTATACGATAGGTTACATTCTCATTTTTGATTATGTAATGATCATGAAATATTTATGTATCAAAATAAAGTTTAATATCATCAAACGATAAGTGTGTAATGTCTTGTATCAAAGAATGAAGCGATAATATCCAGAGATACTATCATTCGGAACACCTTGCCGACTATTAATAATATTTCAGGAGGCAGAGAAAATTATCGAACATTGGCCCCAATCGCAACTTTTCGGCCCTTTCCGTAAGTTTTCGGAGAAGAACCTCGAACACAATAGTATGAATACACAGAACGGATGCGGTATTTCGGTCTAACCTACGCTAAGAAACTAAACATGTAAACAAAAAGTAATTTAATGCTGGGAGTTGTTGCCAAGTTTATTTCGAATATATCAAGTAAACCTTCACCTAAAATAAGTGAATTCATACATACAAATGCAAACAATACATCATTTATATATTTACTAGTATGGTTGTAGAAACCAAAAGTACAAAATGTCAATCTGTTGACATTTAGGCGGATTTGATTAAAATTGTACATCAGTGGGCATATCTGAATTAAAAATGGTTGTCAGACATATAATTTCAATCTTAATTGTACCGAAATAGACTTAAATTTCCTTTGGATGTCAAATATAAACATTCGTTTAACATTACTCTGTGTTACTGTTTACATGTAAAACCACGTGGTAGAACTACTTTCAATCAGTATTGTTTCCGAGGTTATTATAGATAATAGCCAAGGACGTTCCGACTGCATTGGCCCCGGTGATACTTATAAATAGTTCATATATCGTGATTTAAAAGTTTTGAAATACTTTGATATGACTTTTATTATGTAATCATTTGGTGTTTGTGTGCAGATCTATTTCTCTGCGGTGCTTTTCCTCTGGGATATTTTATTGTTGGTAGCTTTGTTCTTATCTGGAACTCTCAAAAAGGAGGACTGAACATTGAAAACCGAGCATTGGCTACTGCCGCTAAAAAGTGACTTAGCTTTTTTTAAATATCTAAATGTTTAATAGACACTTTTATAGGACATGTTTGAAATTGCCAATGATTACACCGTACATAAAAATAAATTGTTGGAATTACGCGGACTATCAAGTGTTGTGCATTTTGATGAATATTACCCATATACCTCAAGCAAATATTATTTGCTATCAGAATTTTCAATAAAGGCATTGAAGAAACTATTATTTTCTATATATTTTCGAATGCTGAGCAACAGGTTTACTCCTTGTCTAAAGTTTTCGGAATATTTTTGCCTTGCGTTGCTCTTGGCTAATCCCAATCAAACTGTTCACTGTGCCCTGATAAAGATTGAAAGTAGTTATGCCGTATAAATGATGTTAACAAAATAAGCACGTTTAAGTAACATGGACTTTTAGCGAAAATGCCGATGGAAGAAATGTTTATTTTCTACATTGTTGATAAAGATCGCCGACAGATCACCGATCTCTCTTATTCATTTCAGTATTAGACATCTGGGGGGAAAATCCCTCCTTTTGGTTTGTAAGCGTATTTTAATAAGCAAGCGTGTGGTATCCACTTTTTTCTTTATCTTTAATATTCCCGCACCCCTAGCTGTCCCTACGGGTCTGATTAAATTTTTTATGTAAATGGCGTTGTGTCATCGAAAAAGCTAAGTATCTAACGAAAATGGCAAATGTAATCCAAATAATAGTAATATTTCTTTCACATTTTGAGTAACTTTTCAATTTATGATTAATAGACGGTATCACCAGAATAGAAAAGGGTTGGGCGAGGTGGTTATTTCCATCATCATTTGAGCCAAAATTATTTATATCTACATGGCGGGTGAGACCAATGGACATTTACATTTACATTTCAGAATGACGGGCTAAAGTGAAGGTTAATCCAAGTTTAATATCATTTAGGGAAATAAAAGAAAAATATGAATTGTCACAATATCTGCTTAGAATGGCATCACATTCGTTAGATGTGAGTACGGTTGACATACAAATAAAGACAAAATAGATTGTAGTGACATTATGCGAACAAAAGAACTGTAGAAAGATAAAATATCATGTTGTCATGGAATGATAGATCTTGTAGAACATTATCATGCAATTGCGTATTAGAGTATTATTCCGAAGTTAATTTACCGGATTTATTGGTAAAATTATGTTGAACCATTAGTTTAAACCTGAACGAGTAAAAATCATTGCTATATAAAATTTCAGTGTTATAAAACATGGCTATTCGTAACGCGAGAATATTTAAAATGTCGCAGTGGAGAAAGAACCAACTAATTCAGTAACACTTTTGTTAAAAAAGTGACTATCAACTTGATGAACACTCTTAGATTGGAAGATATCATGTAAACTAATAAATTCTGAACTTAAAAATATAACTCATTGTTGCATACCCAAAATGTATTTACGTATTGTAGTTGTGTCAATGTAGCTGTATATGTATATCTATATATACTGTATTAAAATTTTCTGTTCATGCTCAGTATAAAATACCAACAAACACCTGAGCGCGAACTATAATAAAGTTAACATTGAAGCGGCACACGAAAAGAGTTATTACATATCTTATTTTTCATAGAGCTAATGTATTCAATAAGGCATTTGCGCAATAAAGGTTCAAAGATTCTATGCATTACAAAGTTCAAGGTAAAAGATCTTTTACCACAACTCGAGCAACTTCTTTTATAATGTTTTAAAACCAGGTTTTTAAATGTACTCCCATCCAAGGGTTAAAAGAAAATGTTTTTAAAAACAAAATGTTTTTAAAGATTTTTTTATTTTTATTTATGTAAAAGTTTTGGTCTGAATTTAGATACAGGAAAATTCGTAAGAACATTTCAACACCTTGTATTACAAGGACAATTATCAAGTATCCACTTCAAGTAAGGTTACACTGTTAACATTTTCCTGCTCTTTGTCCTTTTGGAAAACCACATGTGCATAATGTGTTGTTATCATTATCATTATTTTCATTGTTACTACTAAAGAAATGTAACATACAGTTTGTCGCAGTAGCAGCTTTTTTACGGTGTACTATTTACAAAACAAAGTAAGCGAAAAGCTCTTGTGTTTTAAATATATTATTTTAAAGATCTGCATGAAAAACAAGAACAGTAACAATAAATCAGCAGTCAGGAACAAACTCCTCCTTCTGTGAATTTGCATTGATTATATGAATTAAACGTTTATTAAATATAATAAAGCTTTTATTAACTTCAATATTAAAGCGTTCATCAACTAACGCTTTTAATACATTTTAAAAAATCGTTTATATAAAGAAAAGAAAACGATCTTTGTAGTACAGCATAAACATTTTATCTCCAAACATGTTTAACATGAATACAATGTACCCTGCTTGTAGCAAGAAAAGGTTCAAGCTCCCAAGAAAGCAACGGTGATCGGAAATAACAGAATCTTGTACTAGCAACGCATTGAACACATGTATAAGGCTTGCAAAACAAAGTACACTGAATTCGTCTATCCGCTGTGAAAAGCTTTTGGTGTGATGGTTTCAATACATTCAGGCAATTCATTTTATTGTATGTGCATGTGGTCGAGTGTCCATGTGTACCGCAATTATTTGCATGCAATTCTTTACTATCATTTTGACAGTCTATTTATGAATTAGAGCACCGACGAAGGAACTTCTCCCGTGACTTTCCCACAGCAGAACATTGGTACTTCCGCTGGTACACTTCACCCACACTTTCTGTCCGGTCTCTACACGGGCGAACGTGCTCATGCGAGCCGCAAATCGTAAGTCTTGTTATGTCGAATTTGTACGTTCGTCGCTATGTAGGATATTTTCCAAGAACTATGGGCATACTGGGAAATACCGACCACTGATTAGTTACATGCATGTATACTGCCAAGTAGATAAGAGTCCAGAGAAACAGGCGCCTTGAAATGTACGAAACTGTATCATATACTTTTCCTTCATTCAAACGAGTTGTATCTCCATACCATTGATCTCATTGGTATCTGGACTTGTATCGACTGGCTGATAGGCATCGAAAGCAACCAAGGGTAGATCTACTCTTTCTAAAATAAATTTAAGAATATATATAATGGTAAAATTAATTATGATTAAGATCATGATTTTATAAAATCATCAATATCAAAGTAACGTGAATATAATAAAAGAAATCCACAATATATAGGTATAAGGTACGCTATTTCTTAAGTTTTTAAATTTCTGTGATCATCCTGAAAATAATTTTCCATTAGGTAATATTAACCTTCTATAAGATAATAATTTTGTCATATATTTTATCAATTAAAGGCAGAGCATTATGTTTATATTGGACAGAGTATTAAGGACAATAAAATGTTTAAAACTTGTACAGAAAGTGGAGCTGACTGTTAATTCTGTCTGTTATTTCACTGATACTTGTTTTTGTAGGTTTTTTTCGAATTCATTTTTCTTGTTTGTTTTTGTTCATTTGTTGTTTCTTTATTATTGTTGTTGTTGCTGCTGCTGTTGTCGTTGTTGTTGTTATTGTTTTAGATATGTTAATAAGATTTTATGTTTAAGGGTAGCAGTGGGCTAGTGGTTAAGACAGCTTCCTCTCAATATAGAGGTCGTGGGTTCGAACCCTCCTAGAGTCACGACATTGTTTTCTCATAATGACAACAGTAGCCCTACTGTTTAGTACCAGACAGCTTATATAATAGAGAAAAACAGAGTTCCGCCAAAAAAGCCCAACACGGCAAAATTGAAATTGTTGCAGACTAGGATTGATTGAGCCTGTTCATGGACAGTACTGGAAAGTGCAAGTTACCGTCCACGCCAGCTAGCACCGGCTTAAGCAAAATTATAAGCAATACATGTCAAAAAGCTGCTAATCAATTAAACATGCTCAAAAGAATAGGTCACAGGTTTCATCCTTCTGTTATATGCCACAATATTGTTTTTACGACTGAGTTTGAATAGACATAATTACTGATACAAATATTTGACAGCATTAGGTTTATTTATTTATTTTGAGTTTGAGTGTTCCAGCTATAGAAATGGAAAAAAACGTTAGGTGTCCCTGAGTAGAACCACCGGTCTTCGTAACCTAGCTGGATAGCTTGCTCACCCGGCAAAATCCAAATTCCCTGACGGGATTCAAACCTACAGTGGTCAAGGGAAAGTGATCCGAAGACAGCGGTACTAACAATCGACCACGGAGGCCATTGCTCGCTTACATGCAGTTGTCAATTTATTGTTTCTGTACTTCAAAGTTAATGTAGATTCAGATAAACAATGGTATATTCAAAAGCATAATACCCCAGAAGTATGGTAACGTTAGAAGCTTTATACGTTAAGGATACAATATTTTAGCATCTATCAAAAAGCGAGATTAATTTTCAATATTCTCTTTGTAACACATTTAATAAAAGCTGTGTTTTACATATAACAAGCATTATGATTATCTCTTCATTGATGATCATATGACGAAAAAATGATACAAAAGGATGCGCGATGTCGTATATAAAAATGATTATCTTGTACCTCATATATACTTTAAAACTAAACCGATATGTTTTGTTCTAAAATCAAAAGTCTCACCTCCTAATAGCTCCAGTTCGGCGGTTTTATTGTCTAGTATACTAGCCTGGTTCTTTGTGAAAGTGCTGATATTTGTCTCTGTTTGTTTCAATTCCTCTTCCATTCGTTCCATCTTCATTTCCATATTAATCATCCTACTGAGAAGTTTAGCATGGTAAGCGAATCTGTCGGGCTGGTCATCGCCTGATGTTACTGTTAATATAGCTGAGCTCACCAGTCCAAACATAAGCAAAACTTTCAATCTCCACATTGCAGAACCTTTGTCACTTTTGTCGCAGTGATATTGTACCATCAACACAATGAACTTTCTGTATAATTCATAATGTTAGTATTGTTCATTGTATATTAGCTTTTTGATACAGAGTGTCTAAATGAGCATCTTCAACTTAATTGGTCAGTATAACAAATAGACACCATCCCCTTTTTTACTTTTAACCAATAAGAGTGAAATTATTTATTACTCGTAATGCACTTACTTTCCTCGATTAGTGAAATATTTGATGTTTTAAGTGGCACTTATAATGCTTATACCAGTTAACAATTGTTGTTAAGCAAGTGTTTCTAGTTGAATACTTTACTGCATTTTAATTAAATGTTACTTATTGAAATTACGCGTTCAAGTTAAACTAGTATTCTGTTAACAAGTTTGATTATAATGCATTTATATGTTTTCCCCTAGATTGTACCAACAGCAATGTAACAACATTCAAATTAAATGGATGCTGCCATGCCTCATAATCGTAATACTATATAGATATTAACCGTTCATACTGAGAACTGACATTTAAAAAGATATTAAGACTAAGGCAAGTCTTAGCTAGCGTATATCCCGGAAAATCTTAGCTAGCGTATATCCCAGGAATAAGCTAAGAATACAGATATTGGTTGCAATGTTTACTGCCAGTGCTTTGTTTTATAATTAGACAGGTGCTCTCTTCTTTAATCAATGTTTCAAACATATTAATAGACAACAATAAAATACATTGTAAGAATGTTATATATTTGTCTTCTATTAGTCATTTTACTAAAGACACTACACATGGAAAGTGAACGGTAGTCATACAGTATACTCCTTTCTATCAAATAGCCCATAATACACTGATGACAGAATAATCTAAGGAATAGGGTGTTGATATTTTAAGATTATTTAAAAAAGAGACTATGTCATTTTTTCAATATGCAGTCAGGCTTATTGATTGGCTTGTGATTTGATGATGGATATGGAATACATATGAGCCGCGTCACGACAAAACCAACATAATGGGTTTGCGACCAGCATGGATCCAGACCAGCCTGCGCATCCGCGCAGTCTGATCAGGATCCATGCTGTTCGCTTACAAACCCTATAACTAGTAGAGAAAATAAAAGCGAACAGCATGGATCCTGATCAGACTGCGCGGATGAGCAGGCTGGTCTGGATCCATGCTGGTCGCAAACCCATTATGTTGGATTTGTCGTGACGTGACTCATATTCACATATGGATCACGTATTGCATTTTGTCCGATGTTCCCTTGAATTGACCAAACAATGTTCTTTGTGCAAGAAGTTTTTACTTTTTTTTTAATTTTCATTAACAAATAATAAAAAATAAATAAGGAGGCATTTTGCTGTTCAAAAAGATTCAAGTAGGGTCGTTCTTTAAAATAGATATTCTATTTGATCACGATATCGACCTACTGTTTTATAATTTGATATGTGTTATAATTTGTTATGTGTTAACGAAATTGATAAACAGTATGTAGGTCAGGAATTTATAAAATGAAATAATGTCAATATTCTGTCATTTAGATTCTATATGTTCGGAATGCGTATTTCTCAACCAGTGGCGGTTGGGTGTATATGTTTATATACATGTATCTTAAAGCATATATCTTAATTATCTTACTCATCATCATCTACAAAAGTCATGTGACTTGCTGTGGCGTATGACCTTGCGTACTTTTAAAGTGTCAGTGCTGTTTGTAGTCCACCTTGCAGAAAAGGTCAGCAAACTTCTGTATATCAAGGAAATGGAGGAAATTCAATTATTATAGAAAACAACTTGTAACATTACATTATAAAAAGGATGCCATGTTCATTAGTGATGAGTGACGTAGTGTCAAGCGTCTATAACTTCTTATGATATTACCAAACTCCTCACACTGATTACCTCCCTTGGCAGAATTGTAATCACTGCCTTCACAGACGTCACATGATGATGAAAGTCACATGACGTAACGTCGAAATTCAAATGTAATTATCGACCGTTACATAGAAAATCTAACGCCATTTTTCTCTTTCTGTTTTATTTTCATAGATTTCTGCCACCACGGTCCGATATATCAGAATTTCTGATATTTAATATTTTTTAGCTTTTGATTTTATTTTTCATTATTTTGTATACTTTTGATATTTTTTGATAAAATATAACGGACGTAGGTACGAAAAGTTAAAATAAACAGAAAGAGAAAAATTACTGTAACGGTCGATATTTACATAGTTACGTCATGTGACTTTCATGATCATGTAACGTCTGTGAAGGTAGTGATTACAATTCTGCCAAGGGAGGTAATCACTGTAAGGAGTTTGCATTAGTAAAAGCTCTAACCGTCCTATGTCCATATCAATCATTAAGACAGTATTACCCTCGAAGAAAAAGTATTTTTATTTCATCATAACAAAAAGTACTATACACGCATTTCATTAAATATCATTCACAACATATAAATATTAAGATATAATCATCGTACAACAGTACATTGAAAACTATAGACTCATATTATTATGTATTATAAACTATGATCTTGTCCGGCCAGCATGCAACAATTAAACAGTTTCTATTGTCATCATACAACAATGATATTGGATTAACCAAACCAGCATCTTTACCCACCAATTCTCCCAGACATTTACCATCTCTATCAAACATCATGATGTTGTTTGAGTAATATCCAGAAATAAACACGGTTCCGTCATTGGCTACACATACACCTCGTGTGGCGTCAAGTCTTTTATCTCTCAGTTCTCTCTTCACAGTACCATCTCTGTTAAGACAGACAGCACCATCACTATAATCTGCTACAATAACAGTATCTCCACTGACAGCCATTTGTTGTGCAGTTGATTTAATTTTGCATTGACCATTGACATTATTACTGACAGACTTCATAAATGTACCAGTCATATTGTATACATTAACACCATTTCCATCAGATACCCACAACTCTCCAGCACAATATGTCATTCCCCAGTTACCTCCACCTATAACAGATATATCTCTCACCTTAGATAATGAGTTTCCTACTGATATAAACCAAACTTCGTTGTTGTTCAGTTTCACTGCGACCTCAGTATTACCAGTACAACAGATGCCTCTAGATTTTGATTCTAGATCCAAACAATCTTTAATGTTACAATTCATATCAAGTCTCTTTATCCTCATATTATGATAATCAGCCAGTATGATTGTACCGTCTGGAAGCTGACATACATCACAAATGTAGCATTGTGTACGGTCATTTTTCATTTTGATTTTAATCTCTTTCTGTGAACTTACTTTATACAACTTTAATCCAACCAGACTGTTGTTTTCTGTTGTCTTCTCTACAGACCCTAAAGATGTTGACGCAATGATTAAAGATTTTAATTCCGTATTTTCCGTAAAGCGTAAAGACAGACAACCTTTAGCCTCGGTTTGTTTAAAAACTTTCAAAGCATTGTTTACAATCTGCTGTATCAGTTTTGTCTGTACAAATTGTTGTCTTATATTCATACTGTCTGCTGTTTGTAACTGGCGACTTGCTTGCTCAATTTCTTGTTTAACTTTGCTAATCTGAGAAAAATTTGTCTCAATCTCTTCTTTGGCCAAAGTAAAGTCTGAATTAAGAGCTTCCAATGCTATATGCTTCAGCTTACGGATATGTTCAATGAATTCCCGCTCAATTCTCTCTATCCGAGAAATAATTTCGTTTCTTTGCTTCTCAACGCTTCTGATGTTCGTATGGAACTTCTAGTCAGTGTCATCTAAACGCTCTTGAATTGTTTTCATGTCCGTCTTGAGTCGCTCAATTTCTTGTATCTGATGTGAAGACACGTCTTCTACATAAGATACTCCATTGCAGGATCTGAATTAAACAAAATGTCATCATCATTACTTTTTAATTGTTATATCCTGTAGTTATTAAAGATCCTGTTACATTTTTTTCGTGGTTTTATTTCATAACAAGAGCTGTCGGTAGGACAGCATGCTCGACTATTCTAAGTGCTTGATAGTAAAAGAGCCTTGATAATGTTAAATTTTTTAAGTTCACAAAAGGGCTAATTGTTTTTTTATAAATTCATGTTATAGGCCTTAGAGAGAGTCTAATTATACAGTATTGGCTTGACTATTCGGAAGGTAATGTCACGAGGGTGTTTTATTGAGTATAATAATACTAATTACCTATGAATACATAAATTTGACAGAAAAGGTACAAAGGCTTGTTATTAAGATGTTTTATCAAGTAAATAACTGCTTTATTATTATGAATGCATAAAAGTGTCCCAAAAAAGTCACAAACCCTTCAGTAGTTATTGAGATAACAGCTTACAAGCAAAACTTTACCATGAATTTCTAAGTTGAAAAAGGGGAGAAAAATCAGCCTAAATGCAAGACAGAATTATGGATCTTTGTCAGTGACCTACAATGATGACCCTAAATGCATATGTGAAGTTTTAAATAAATATCTTTAATAGTTATTGAGATATGTAAAACTTGCATGTAAACATTAACCAAGAGACTAAGTAAAAAAGGGGATATGAATCAGCCTTAATGCAAGATAGAGTTATGGAACTTGGTCAGTGACATACAATTATGACCCTCCAATTATGACCCTTAGTGCATGTGTAAAGTTTCAAGTAAATATATTTGAAGACCTTAACCTTTAACCAAAATTTCTAAGTTTCAAAGGGGCAAATAATTCTGCAAATATTGCAGGCAGAGTTATGCAATTTTGCAAACTGATGTACATTGTTAATAAAAAAGTATTTTTATTTTTCATTTGAATATCTCAAGCAATGATTGAGATATTTGACATTACAAAAAGCTTTAACCAAAATTTCTAAGTTAAAAAGGGGCATTATTCTGTCAATATTGTAGGCAGAGTTATCCAACTTGTCAATCTGATGTAGCTTGTTACTATAAATAAGTATTGTAAGTTTCAATTGAATATCTCAAGTAATAATTGAGATATTTGACTTTACAAAAAACTTTAACCAAAATTTTTAAGTTAAAAAGGGGCATAATTCTGTCAATATTGTAGGCAGAGTTATCCAACTTGTCAAACTGATGTAGCTTGTTACTATAAATAAGTATTGCAAGTTTCAATTGAATATCTCAAGTAATAATTGAGATATTTGACTTTACAAAAAACTTTAACCAACGCAGACGCCGACGCGGACGCTGACGCCGACGCCGGGCGACTACAATAGCTCTTATATTCTTCAAATAGTCGAGCTAAAAATGATGCTCAAATTAAGATTTGTCAATATTGTAAGTTCCAACAAGCATTATTTATAAAGATCTTACCGAATTTAACATTTTATGTAAATAAAGGGAGGTAATTAGAAATTTTTTTCTATAAATTCTAAGTAAAAATTTTCCAATAAGAAATGAATGCATATAATGTATTGATTAGATATAATGTGAAAAAATATTTGCAGTATACATTTAAAATATTCTTCGATGTTTGAAAATTGTTTTATTTGCATAAATATATATACATATAGATTTTTTGCAAGTGTGGAATACACACAGTTCTTCTCACTTCCCCTCGGAGACAGCACGTCGCTGAGAAGGCACAGGGCATCGGCAGAAGATTTACAACTTGGCTAGTAGACAACTTTAACGGCGCCTTCAACCGTGGGCATTAACTACGGAATCCTACTTCGTCACTTCTGCGGACCAGCTGCCGATGTCCTGACTAATACCGAGGGGAGTGGCCCTACAAAGTAGGCTGAGACGACGAGGATGGTGCACTAGGGTGCGTGAGCCCCTAGTACAGATAGATGGCTTGTAAGGCAGGCCTATAGCTGGCACCAACAGCTCTTTTCAGGGCTATACACCTTTCCTATTGTCACAGGTTACTGTACATTTAGGTTCTCATTGACCGCCGTACAGTGACCTACTTTTCGACTCAAAATTCATATCTTTGGCTAATACACCGTGAAAATTGCATGGAGGTAAATTATCACCATTTTGTGCTTCAAAACTAACTCTTTAATGGCATGACTGGTGACATGTCCGGGGTCCGTACTCGACAGCGAAAGCTGCATTTTGTGCCCGAGAGGGCGGGTGGACCCTCATTAAGCTTTAACTACATACATACAATACACACAGTTACAATATCAATCACAAAACATACAGGATCTTTAACTGTTTGTTTTAACGTTTTTTTCTTTGAAAAGATGGGAATCTCGGAATTCGTGGAATTCTGGAAAAGGTGAGATATCTCGAGAGCATAAAAGTGATTCCATTTTCCTATGCTGAAAACCAACCGTTATAGTCCTGGCGATTGTTATTTTTTTTAATATTAATTATAATTTAATTCATTATAATTTAATGTTCAAAGCCCTTTTTGTTCAATAATCAAAATTCTACTCCGATGCATAGAAAAACATTTCCCTGTATGATTGGCTAGAATTAATTTTAATATTTAGTATACATGTATATTTCTAGGGGTAAACGCTCAAAATAGCATAGCGGTAGAGCTCCTCCCCCCACTAAATAAGACGATAAAATATATAAACAAACCTGTGATTATCAATTATACATTTGTTACAAAAGACCATGTCATGTGCTCCACAGTACATTTCAATGTCGCGATCTGGATGATAACGACATTTTGTTTTTGTAACCATGGTTACCGCTGTACCTTTTGTTGACGCATCACAATTTACTAACGTATGTGAACGTGTAGCTTTTTGTCGACCATGATGTCGTGAACATGATGTACACAGATATTCATCACACACGGGACAATACTTGACAGCCTCTTCTCTGACATCATCCTCCCCACATGGAGAACATGTGTACTCGAAGTCAGCATCCGAGCCATCTTTTATAATCAAATCGCCACCCTCAGCCATGGTTCATGCCACTCTTACTTCTATAATATTGGGATAGAATAAAACGTGCTTATATAATTAACATTTATTTGTTGTTTGTATCTTCTTCACAAATAGTTTAGGTAATAAGATTGTTTTAATAGCAATGAATGACAACATACATTAAATAGCAATAAAATGCAAAAATATCTGCTTAGGCTGAAACAAGTTATGGACATACGAGGGTTATCCCAAACGTTCGCATACAGTTTTGCTCAGTAGCAAGGAGAAAAGTAAACAGCAACGGCGTTATTTAAGGTTCACGAAAAACGGAATCTTAGATAGAATATACCGAATAAGACTCGTTATCAGCTGAAATTAATTAGATAATGCACGGACAAGATCGTTCTATTTGAGAAAAGGAAAAAAATGATACAACGTATGACACGTGCACGTGGCTGTCGGCAGCAATCAATGGTATCTTCAATCCGCCACGGATATGACTTTCTTAAGAATATGCAACGTATATAAGTTCCGCCAAAGATATGACTTTTAGAACATGCAACGAACATAACTTGTAACTTTTTCATTTACGGGCATAATTTAACAATTTTTTGCATGTATTATTATGTAAAATTTATAAATTATGTGACAAAAAAAATACCAAAAAATAAATAAAAAATAAAAGAAACAAGTTTGACAAGTCATATTCGGTATCTTCAATCCGCCACGGATATGACTTTTATACAGAGCGTGCAATATATGTAACTAAAAAGGTCATATTCGGTATCTTCTTTCCGCTACGGATATGACTTTTATTTAGAACATGCAACGAATATAACATGTAACATTTGTATTTATGTATCAAATTAAACATTTTTTGCAATTTCATTTTATTATTATAAAATATCATATGAAGAAAAAATAAGTCATATTCGGTATCTTCTGTCCTTCACGGGTCAAGGATATGACTTTTATAGAAAACGCAACGATTATAACTTACAACTTTTTTTATTTATGGACCAAATTTAACGATTATTTCCATGTTATTTCATTTCATTGTAATTAAATATCACATCCAGACAAAAAAACCCACTTACTTTATAAAATATAAGTCATATTCGGTATCTTCTGTTCTTCACGGATATGATTTTTATCAAAGGCACGAGTATCGGACCTGGGAAGAAAAAAATTTGACCAGATTGATAAAAAAACCTGTGTTCATCTTAAAAGTGTCAAAAAAAAAAAAAAAAAATGTAAATAATGACCCCCTTTAAAAATATACTATAAGTTAAGAGAAGGCCGGAAACTCCAGATTCGAGCCTACGAGCAAGGGATTCATTCCCGGGCCGTTGTGAAAACAATTGGCCAGACAATTAAAAAAAACTTTTCACTATTTCGCGTTTATATTTAGCTTCAAAATGAGACCAACCCCAAGTCTCTAGCCCTTCCCGTTCATGAAATATCTATCAGGAAACGAGCGAATTCGTGCTAAAAATCCTTGGTAGACAGAATTGCAGCACAACAATTCGGTACGTAAACATAGACTAATACATGTATGTCAGCTGACTACGGGTCAAAATTACTTGAATTTACTAAATAATATTACTAAATACATTAAGTTGGACCACTCACAACCGTCAGAAGCATCTGATACACGCAAAATTCGAATTTCAAACCTTTCCACGGTCTTTAGATTACTTTCTACGCCATTGTCAATCAGCTGTTCGATATTTTGTAACGAGTCTTCTGATTGGCCAATAGCAACGAAAACCGCAACGTTTCACACAAGGATGCCTAATGGCGTAGAAAGCGATTGAAAGACCGTGTAAATGTTTGAAACTCGAATCTCGTGTGTATCAGATGCTACTGACGGTTGTGAGTGGTCAATATTAATGTATTTAGTAATATTATTTAGTAAATTCAAGTAATATTGACCCGTAGTCAGCTGACATACATGTATTAGTCTATGTTTACGTACCGAATTGTTGTGCCGCAATTCTGTCTACCAAGGATTTTTAGCACGAATTCGCTCGTTTCCTGATAGATATTTCATGAACGGGAAGGGCTAGAGACTTGGGGTTGGTCTCATTTTGAAGCTAAATATTAAATGCGAAATAGTGATAAGAGTTTTTTTTAATTGTCTGGCCAATTGTTTTCACAACGGCCCGGGAAATGAATCCCTTGCTCGTAGGCACGAATCTGGAGTTTCCGGCTTTCTCTTAACATATAGTATATTTTTAAAGGGGGTCATTATTTACATTTTTTGGGGGGGGGTTTGACACTTTTAAGATGAACACAAGTTTTTTTTATCAATCTGGTCATATTTTTTCTTCCAAGGTCCGATATTCGTGCCTGTGATTTTTATATAAAAAAAACCCCAACAAATATAACTTATTACTTTTTTATTAATGAACAAAATTAAACGATATATTAATATATAAAATAATTTTATTATTATAAAACACCGTATCAAGAAAAGTTAATAAAAAATAATCAATTTATAAAATATAAGTCATATTCGGTATCTTCTGTCCGCTACGGATATGACTTTTATAGAACGTAATTCGAATATAACTTATAACTTTTTTATTTACGGACCAAATTTAACGATATTTTGCATGTAAAATCATTTTATTATTATAAAACACCGTTTTAAGAAAGGTTATTAAAAAATCATTTTATAAAATATAAGTCATATTCGGTATCTTCGGTCCGCTACGAATCACAGGTGCTAGTGGCATTGATTTGACCTAAAATGTGTTTGACCTTGTTATGTCGTATAACGGAGAAAGAACTCACGGATGTTACATACTTTTAATATACAAATACAAACACACATGTGAACGAGTGGAATACCAAAGTCGAACTCCCCCTCACTGACATTTGAGAATAGTATATATAAAGACAACCTGTCATAAGGACATTTTATAATGTATATAAATACACACGTTTTAGAGTTACATATATTAATCATTTTGACATAAGATCAGTCTGCTTGTATCCTGAACTATAATACTCATAAATCATGTCATGTTCCATAGTGCACATTATGAAATACAAATCTTAATATATGTATATACATGTTGACTTGTCATTCTTTTTGAATATAGCGTGTATGACTCATTAGCCTGTGCAACCAGCTATACGACAATTCCTCCTTTACTTATATATAAAAAAAAAATTTAAAAAAAGTATTAAACAAGGTATTATTTAATATCAAACATTTCAAACTCGTTCTAACAAATTAAAAAAAATCTAAAATCTAAAATCAACTTGACATCTGTTTTACCCTTAAGGTAATATCCGGTCAGAGATGTCCGGTCAGAGATGTTATCTAACGACTTTTGTTACTTTATTTTGAAAAGAAAAAATCACCTCAGGTCATATCATCTCTGATTGGTCAATTGAATATCGTGTGTAACCTTTTCATGTTTGAATTCATTTTAATAGAAAAATTTGGATAGATACAATGTAGCACAGGTAAGTTTACTTTTGATATTAGTTTTAAAAGTTTAGAATAAGTAAAATAATAATTATTGTTAATTGTTCGATTAATCTTTATGCAAAAAAATACAAAAAAAATATGTTAAAGTAACATAAGGTAAATATTATAGCTTTATAAGTTTTTCAATAAATATTAAATTTCCTTTATTTCATCATAAAAAAAGAAAAAAAAAGTTAATTTCTAGAGATCAAGGAAACATAAAGAACAAACAAATAAGTTAACAATTTTCAAAGAACAAATTATTGTAAGAATATTAATTAGAAAAACTTTAAGGTATAAAATTTAACAGAATTATATGTATGATAAGAGTAGAAAAGATATTTATATACGAAAAAGTTTAAAAAAAGTATTAAACAAGGTATATTATAAACAATTGATAAATTAAATTGATAAAATGTCCAGGTGTTTCATTTCCTGTAAAACGTGTATTGTGCATGCGCATTGAACACATCCTGTGACGAGTATATTTTTGTAACAGGTACTTGCTGACATCAGTATGGCTTGGTCGTTTGACGTGTCGGGAATTTCAAATCGTTGGTATGTAGCTTTTTAAAGTATAATTTTAAATTGACACTCATAATTGTTCATAAATGTTTGATGTTCTTGAAGATTCTTTTAAATTAATATATATGTATTTGATATGTGTAAACGTAGACTTTATACACACGTTGATAAAGTTATATTCGAATATTTATTGGCACATCTGTAAACGCTGTTCTTGTTTCGTCGTTGTAAAAAGAATGTCTTGTATTGAACAATACAACAAAGTGATGATAGATCTATAATTCTTCATTTATGTAGCAATGTTTTTTGAGTAAAAGATAATTAAATTAACAGTTTGCTGTTGCACGATCCTCGCAAATGTTAATGTGATATTTATTTTTGGATATCTCTGTCGCGCACAAATAATTATTTTGATAAGAAGTTGTCATCAGTATTTCTCTGGGTTTTTGTTTTTAAGTTTATATAACACATAGAAAAACACATTCTATTGATAAACGGAAGTTTTCGGCTTCTCTGGTTGAAGACAGGAACAAAAGTTTATTTGATTCCACAAGTTTGTTGTTGTTGTTGCTGACGGCTGTGTCAGCATAGTTATATATTTTAAACATCGTAGACGCTTATTTCATATAATTTTACATCGAAGAAGGTGTTTATGGTTATATCTGCATGGTTTTACATCGAAGAAGGTGTTTATGGTTATATCTGCATGGTTGTACATCGAAGATGGTGTTTATGGTTATATCTGCATGGTTTTGCATCGAAGAAGGTGTTTATGGTTATATCTGCATGGTTTTACATCGAAGAAGGTGTTTATGGTTATATCTGCATGGTTTTTGTTGTACATAGTTTGACATCGTAGAGGCTGACTGTAATATTTCTAGTCAGGCGGTGTTTTACTGTACCGGCGAAATCGCTCACACCTCTCTGTCTTGGCTGGACGACAAGTGATCGTTAGACCAATATTTTGCATTTTCGTCCGTTGTCAGATCGGTTAATAGATATTATATACAATAAACATACTTTTGTTTTTTTTCAGATATTTGA